CCCCCCTTAAAAAAACATACTGATATGAAACGAGAAGACCCCCCACTCCATCCTCCCCAAACTCTTCGGCCCCCTGCGGGAACGCTACGCCAACCGACCCGGCGGCTACACGCGGGTGCTGCGCGTGGAGCCCAAGAAGGACGACCAGGCGGAGAGCGCGATCCTGGAGCTGGTCGACGGCCCCAAGGACATGCGGTTCGCCCTGACGGCGCGGACCATCGCGCGCCAGCGCGCCCAGGGCTTCGACACCCTCAACGAGATCACCGCGCTGAATGTCCGCAAGGTGACGCGGTTCCGGGACGGTGGGGTCGAGGCCCTCGAGGATGAGGTGCAGAAGTTGAAGCTCGGGGGCCATGGTGAGAAGACGGCCAGTAACAACGGTGAGGGCAAGGGCTTTGGCTGGAAGGGGCGGAAGGAGAAGGCCAAGAAGGCGCCTCTGGCTTAGAAAGAGAGAGAAAGGGACGGGGTTGGATTTGAGAAAGGGGGGGGGGTTGGGTTTGGGTTCTGCCACAAAAATGAATTCCCAAATTGAGGGTCGGATAAGACAACTCTTTCTCTCTTGGGGTGTATTTGATTGTGATGGTGGGGATTTGTTAGCAGCGACGCTGGTCCGCCTTTTCTGGTTTGTTTCTTTTTTCCGTTTCCCCATTTCATTTATGTACCTTATATCATTTCGTATGTTGTTTCTCTCTGCTGCTGCTTTCTTCTCAACCTAACTGGACCAGTGGCTGGCTGCGACTGTATTTCTAGCTGACTTGGCTTATCTGAAAATCATACTGTTCAAACAAAGGAGCTCACTCAATAGTACTCAGACTTGGGAATTACCACGACGATAGAGATAGGCTAAGAACGGCGACTAATCTGGTTTCAGCATCGATTCAATCATACATTTATTGTGTCTAAGCACTGTCGCCCATCCCCACACCAGCAAGATCTAATGAGAGATAGAAAGTTTTAAAGCGACTGTGACATGCTCGCATGTCAGTAGCTAAGCCCCACCAAGCGCCATGTAAAGCCCAGTCCTGGTCTGCGCTATCGACGAACCGCAGACGCAACAAACCCACTACAATTCGAGAATGGGCTATTCGGGCAAGCCAGAATAGGCCCCGCACTCTCCATCCTTCTCCGATCAATCTGCCCCGAATTGGGAATCGCCACACCAGACCCTATCACACGTGCTTGGCCACGAGAAGAAAGTATGTGCACTTTTGAAAGTAGAAATCAGTCTATCGACCGAGCAATAGTACTAATTAGGACACGGGTCAATTCGCTCGTGGTAACATAGTTCCTCCGGAAACAACGAGCGGGCCATTCTTGCTGTTTAGCGAATTACTTGGAAAAGGTGGAGTTGAGGTAGGCCCATTTCGATGCTTCATGTCGAATTCGGATGGTACCTCGGACGGTGGTGGCTTGGGAGGAAGGTGAGATGGCGTTCCCCATTTGGCAATTGAGTCTCGTCCACCGGAGGGTATACTGCGAGGGAGACTCTGCCCAGCGGACCCCAATGCATCCGGACTCTTGTTGTTGATATCCTGATAGCCATTCCACTGTGGAAGGACCCCGGGCTGCATGCCTGTGTACGGGCCCATACCGTGCTGACTGCCCTTAGCAGGGTGCCGTGCTAATGTGGCAGCTCCACCTGGAACAAACGAGCGGGTTTGAGGATTGAAAGGAGACCGACTAAAGCTTCCAGGCATAGGGTGAGAGCCTGAGTGAGGCTGCATGGCAGGACTCATTGGCTGGCCCGGATATTGAGCATAGGGATACGAAGTAGGGGTAGGCGGTTGGGTCTGATAATTGGTCCAAGCGGCCGGGGCATGGGTAGGGGGATGGTTGCGATGAGGCGGAAGAGTATAGCCGCCAGGATAAGGTGGTGTCGACCAGCCAGGTGTCTGTTGGTATTGTACAGTGTTGGGCATAGGATAGCTGCCAAGCGCAGGTGATGATTTCGTAGACGCCATCGCCGGTGACTGAGTGATAGATGCATATCCTGTGTAAGGAGACTGCTGAGGAACAGGCCCATTTTGCCACGGACCACTCGGCGTCATTTGGGGAGAGACAGGCATCGAGTAATGGGGCATCGTGTTCTGATTCATGGGACCTGGGTACATGGTGCCGGTCTGCGCACTAGGTGTATAGCCCATACTGGGTGGGGATACTCCAGGTCCAACCATGCAGGGCTGGTTTGGGAAGGACGGATCATTCATAGCCATACCATACGGCACCGAACCGTTGCCAAACTGCATCCCAGGGTAGTAGGCATTGAACTGAGACCGAGCTTCGAAGCTGTCGTCATGCGGCGTTTTCTGTCGGTGCGTTTTCTTGCGTCCGCTGGTTGAACTTGAGCGCGACATGTTGGCGCTACTGTCGCCATTCGCGGTTTCGGCAGCTGCCTTTGACTCAGGGAAATCTCGGAAAATGCGCTCGCGCGCTTCCTGGTACTTGGCTTCTCGCTCCTCTCGGGTAAGAGCCAGTCTATCTTTCGCCGGTGTGGCACCTGTAGATGAACCACCACGGTCTCCGTCGTTACCGCTGTCGCCAGCTTCCGATCCATCTTTCGAATGACCAGAGCTTGCTGCAATGCTGCCCTCAGTGGAAGGTCGCTCACTGCCTGCACGTCTCATGATTTTCATGGCAGGCATGGCAGGTGGCGGTGTGCTGTTGTTGGCAGCATATATGATGGACAGGGGCGTTGGCCTGACAAGACATTAGCGCGATGTTCTGCCCAAGGACTATGCAAGGAGAATATAAACATACAGTCGACAGAAAGGTGTTCTGTGAAGTCTGACTGACGTGACATTATTATCCACGAAGTGGGTCAGATGATAGTAGTCGCCCAATTTATGAGCCAAGAGTCTCCCAAAAGCGTTGGAAGGAGGAAGTTCCAGTGAATGCTCCCTATTGACCAAGGATTAGAGTCCATCGTACAGACACCACGACACAATCAAGGACTTACTTGGAATTCTGTATGAAATGCCGAACCTTCTCTTCTAGCTGTAGAATCAGAAGACGATCCTTAGGGGATTTCATGGCCTCAAGAAGCTTTTCATCTGGCTCAGACGGAAAACCATGTATGGGTCGTCCAGCTTGGAAGGCCTCCGAGTTGGGAGTGATGAAGCCGCTGGACATCGCGTCTGGAAGCAAAGCACCGTTACTGTGCTGGGTGCCGTCGGAATACACTGGTCCTGTCGGCTGAAGTATAGCCCGCGGTCGTTGTATGTCTCTAAACCCGCGAACACCGGAATCGGATCCCGTCAACGAATTGGGTGCGCCAGAAGCAGGTCCGGAGAGAGACTCTTCCTCGTCAATGGCTTGCACGCTAGCACTATCATCAGGACGCAATGAGTCCTTCTCGTCCATCGCAAATGTGGTGACTGACGCCATGCTCTTCGAGTCAAAACTCGTCGGTTTGGTCGAAGAACTTGACAGATGGGTGCGGTCATCCTCGTCAAAGGATGTCTCCCGTTTCAATGATCCATTTTCTGGACCCTCACTAGAAAAATCGGGACTATCATGATATTTCTTTTCCGACAAATCAATGCCTTGTACAGCCTGGGAGAGACCGTCAACGTTTCGATCGCTAGTAGCGGCATCATCAGGAGCGTTGCTAGGGCCTAGCTGGCCAGAATGAATGTCATGGGAGCAGTATAGTTCGGAGGATGATGGAACTTCGATCGACTGAGAACCATGTAGCTCGTCAGATGGCATGGAAGCTACCGGTCCAAATGGTGGAGGCATCGCAGCAATCTGTGAGGGTATGTCAGGCAAGAACCGGGGCATGAACCTAGTTGTTGCACCAGAACCGACCTTTGCAAAGGAGAGACGGTGCTCGTCCCTCGTAGAACCTTTCGATGCCATTATCATGCGAATGCTTTCCGCCGGATCCGAGGATCTCTTCCTAACGTTTTCTTTCTTTGGTGATGAAGACGAGCGAGCGGAGAACCAACGGCGGAATAGGAAATCCCAACAAGAGAAAGCGCACGACTGAGCTCAACACGTTCAGGAGTTGGCGATAGAAAAAAACAGGAATTCGAACTGATCAAGAGCCACTCAAAGAACCCACTTCACACAAGCCCAAAAAGAAAGACGGCACATCTCTGGGAAACGTAATTCGCCATAAGGAAAGCTGTCTGAGGTTAGAACCGCGCAAGATACATAAGAGCCGTTTCGTGGGCTAAGCGGAGAGTAAGGTGACTGACTGATCGATCAAGGGAAGAAAGCCAGTGACGGAAGACGCGAGAATGGCCGGCAACGCAGTCTGAGGAGAAAAGTGACTATTATTACACGATTGTCAGAACGATCGAACCATAGCCTTCTTTAATAAGCTGACTCTTGTCTTTTTGGGGAAGGTCAAAAAAAAGGTTTATATGACTTGGGGAAGAGAGAGGAAGAGGGGAGGAGGAAGAGGGAGTGGGGAGAGAAGAGAATCTTCCTACAAGAGAAAAAAGAATAGGAGGAGCTTGAAGACAAGCAACCGCCCTGGAAGAGCAAGTTGAACGGAGCCGACAGACAAATAGTACAGTACTCTAGATAAGTACTGTGGAAGGGTGTGGTGTGGCCCGGATGGGGTGGTGGTGGTGGTGGTCCGTCGCAACTATGCGGGTGTGGAAAGTGAATGAGTGGGTATGGGATGGATTCTTTTGGGCTGAAGAAGGAACGACAGACTGGCCGGCGGCAGGCACACAGGCAAGCAAGTTTAGCCGCGCGTTTAGCCCCGATGTTGTTCCGGCCCACATGGTTGGCTTGATCAGCCGCGGAAGACAAAGCCTGGAAAGTGGAAAGACTCCCCGGGTGGCAGTTGAGATTCCATACTAGTAATTGGAACAGTAACCTTACATACTACGGATACCTAGTTTCGAATCTGAGTCGGGTCGGACCGTGAGCTACAGGCGAGGTAATAAAAGGGCTGAAATAAATCCCCTCCCTGTCGTTCTTTGGGGTCAGTCACGTACTTCCACTTCAGCTCCTATCAGCCAAGTCTCTCTAGTCTCGACCGGATCGAGGGCCGACGATCTGGATGATGAATCGGTATCGAAATGCCCCCGGGCTAAGAGGCCCTAGCAAGGCAACGGCCAGCACCTTGTGCCAAAAATGCTTGCAACGAGATATGTACCCGTTTCGCTCTTAAGCCTTTGGGTCGCAAACTGACGTGGTTTAGCACGGCACTACAGTTATGAATGTAAAGCCACCGCGCAGGAGCGGCCTTACATGTCTCGCCCATCGCGCACGCAGCAGTTACAGAACCCAAAGCTGCGACCGCAATTAACGAATGATGCTTACAAGGATGTCTTACGCACGTGAGTGTGCCTCGATCTCAACCGTGCTTCACTCCTGTGTCGTCATCAAAGAAATTAACAAGACAATAGGCAGGAGTCTAATGATGCGCCTTTGACCAGGCATGAGGAAGAAAGAGGCCGCAAGAGAGATTTAGACCAGGTGGAACCGTTACACAGCCCAGCTCACCTGTCAAAGCGAGCACGCTCGGCTTCTTCACGTTCAGCAAGCTCTGTATCGACAATTTCGACAAGTCGGTCGCACTCCCGGTCGCCTCCCCGCCGCAACGAGCGGACAAGATCAGTGTCCTCTCGTCCTTCTGGTCACAGAAAGAGGCGCTATAGTGATGCATCTTCCGCTCACTCCGTTGCTTCTTACACCTCGGGAGCAAGAGGTTCTCGATCTAGGTCGCGTGAGTGGTTAGATGACAGAAATACCCGACGGAGACGGCGCGCTTCGAGTCCAGACGAACGAGGACGTTCCAGGAACATGCCGCGAGATGGTGGACGAAGGGATCGGTCTAGAAGCCACAGTGTGGATCGCAGTCGAATGGCCAAGAGCAAAAGATCGGTGAGTCCCTCGCTGGCGACTGGGAGCGACTACCCAGCTTCAAGCCACCGCAAGGCGCAACCCCGTGCGGAGCCTGTGAGCAGTGGCGGCGGACGTGGCCCCGGTCAGGGTGTTCCTCCGCCCCGGCGAGAAAGAAGTCTCAGTCCCTACAGCAAACGCATTGCACTAACCCAGGCAATGAACCTGGGACGTTAGGGTGCTTATGGATTTTGGATAGAGCAAAAGTCATTGGGGAATTTGCGCGGGCGTATTGGCGTTCTAGCCTCATATTATCATTATTGGGACATTGTATGATAGGGTTGCAAATTCATTGAGAGCATAATGTATTGTATTGGTATGCAAAATTCCGTAACGCCTTGCGACTATTGCCCCTGACCCCAGCAGAAGAGCGCCTGATAGATAACGAGATGAAACCGAGTCGTACCACCACTTATTGTACACCATTCCTAGGGTATCAAGATTATGCCGCACCGTCCTCCTCCAGCTCCCTCCGTTCCTCTTCCTCCTCTTCCCTTTCTCGGACATGAATTCCCTCAACCAACATTTCGCCTTCAATGCCCACTTCCTCTCCCTCTTGATTGTTGGATGCTGCGCTCTTGGCTTGCGCGGCTCGCTGCGCATTTTCAATGCGTTGGCGCACCAGTCTTGCGATGGCGTTCTGGGTTCGCACATTCAGGACGTTCAGTTTCTCGTCCAGGTCACGCTTCAAATCCCAGTTCGGCTTCTTCGGCTGCAGCTTGAATAGATCGATTGGCTGATCCTCCTCTGCATCTTTCTTCGCTTGTTCAGCGGTTGCTTTAGCAATCTCCGCAGCTTGGGCTTCCACGGTGATTTGGCCATCATTCGGGGCTTGTTCAAATCCAAGCTTGGGTCCACGAGTTTCCGGGTCGTAGTTTCTGCCGGACAGGTATTGCTTGGTCACGTCTGGAGCAGCATCTTCGTACTCATCGTTGGCGGCCCCAGCTTCCGTTACTGGCTCTGGTTCGGGCTGTTTGCGCTTTAAGGCGGCAAGCTTCGCAAGTCGAGCTTTGCGTTCTGTCGCAGCGGCATCAAGAGAGGCATGACTGGATGACATGGCTGCGGAGGGGATGTGGACGACGGAGAAAGCTGCGAATAACCAGGTCGAGGAGAGGGGGGGAATGTGGATTGCCCAGAGAGCAAAGACAAGGGTGGAATAATATATGTTTCTGCCTTTTCACACCCTCGCAATCTCAGGAAGCTTCTCAATAGCTGGAATACAACTTGGCCAAAGCGGTGGTGGCACAAATTAAATTGAGGTAGTAGTAGTAAGTAACTGGTTGCGCTTTAGTAGAACTGATTGTCGGCAGTGATTTGCGCGCGCCACAGCCCAGGATCTCCTCAGCCACACTTTATCCGCGCCGGAGCAAAATCGGGCCCTTTCTTTCCCCGGGTCCGCCGCAAGAAAGAAGTTATGCAATATTTGCCCAGTCACCCCCTCCCCGGTCGCTGAATCCTAACGGGCTTTACTGTGGTCTTTTGCTCAGCTGGTCCATGCAAATCCAGAAATCGAGCACTGAATGTCATTCAGTCCGCATCGCTTCTTGCGCCCCCGCTATGGTGCTGGGTTGCCTTCCTATGCACTGCAGCCCCGACTCCGCCCCGGATATTGGTGTCGCCAGAGAGAAGGATTTCAGCATACGAGATGGCACATCCATGATGCGACGCCCACGAGCAAACAAATATCGACGGAGCCTGACCCGATACTACACGAGTCAGCACCTCCCACCGAGCCCAGTGGTCTTCTAAACCACAGTCTTGACCGATCCCGAAACAAAGCGCAGTCTTCGTCCTCCTCTGCTCATACCGCCTTACCAGAATCTGAACGTGATTTCTTCGACGATTCATCTTTTCCGCAGCCTAAGCCACTCCAGGTCTTAGATGCTTGCGATCCCTGGAGCGATTATTCGGCTTTGCGCACTCCCGATTTCCACAACGAGGGCAGTCGCCGACTTCGACACAATGCACTCGTGGTGAATGGTGGCACTATCAGCTACCGAGAGAGAATGGTGGGTGAGGAGGCATTCCACGCGGATGAAAAAATACGAAGTTCATCTTTTTTCGTCGGCTCACCTAGGCTTCGGAGGTGGAAGGTTGCCCGCAATGAGCTGTTCAAAGCTAAATACTTTGATCGGCCAGTGGCACGGGAGGATCTTGTTGAGGAGTTTCACATGCACAAAGCTGACAAGGAGCTACTGGCGATACTGCAGAGTGAGGATTTTGACAAATTCCGCGAGGAGTGGGAATTTAAGGACATGGCCATCAAAGGTGAGCACTGGATGAGGCTGTCACTATGGCTTATAGCAAACTCCCCGGAGCTTGCTTTGAAGTTCCTTTACATAACCTGCCAAGCCGAGCAGAGGCCGCTGCATGTCATGGTCTGCGAATGCCTGCTTTTCTTGCGAAATTATCCAGATTTACTTTCTACCTGGACATGGGAGGGGAAGACCTTTGCCGATATCCTCGCTGCTTGCTTAGATCCAGAACACTGGCCAATTGTCTATGCATCACAGAAAGGTATCCGTTTCTTCATCATGGGAGCAGATGACGAACAAGTTCTTCGAGCCTGGAAGCTCGCACACGAACGACAAGTGTACACGTCTGCTGAAACCTATCTTGCTTACGCGGCTCGCTTCACCAAGATGAAGAATGTCGATTTGGCCCTCGCAGCCTTGGACCATGTACGCCAGATTGGACAGGTTGGCTTGGAGATGACATCCCAACCAGTCAAGTCCCACGGCTGTCTGCTGTTGCTGCTCGACTCTGTCGAGGATGGCCCCAACGGGCGGAATTTCCGCATCCTTCCCAAGCTCCTCGAGATGGGCATGCGCCCTGACTTGGAGATGATGGATCTCATTCTAAGGAACTGTTATAGGACAGGAGATGAAGAACTTGGTCGCGATATGTTGAATCACATGCAGAGCCAAGGCTATCCGTTGACGACCTATACCTATGTCACGCTATTGTCCGATGCCACCCGGCGACTGGACCGACATGAGATTGATCGGCTCCGGGATGAAATTGACATGGAGGGAGAGGACATCCGAACCAACAAGTTTGTCCAGTCCAAATTGTTCCACGCGTACTTCTGTCTCAATGTGAAGGATCAGGCGAATCGGCCTTCAGACATAGACAACAAGCACGCATTTCGCACTCTGCTGAAGATGTACAATGAGATGTACGACATTGTACCTTTGAAGAAGCTTGGGATTGTTCCGCAATTTTATCAACCGCCAACTACCGAACGAACCACGGTGAGAACCTCGCCTGACGCGGTACCTCTCTTCCTCATGATTGCATCTTACCTTCGGTGCAACAAGCATGTCTCTGTCACTGCGCATGTCTACGAACGCTTTATCGAGCTCTTAGAGAAAGAGGACCCAGTCATCTCTTCTCTCGCTAGGACGGATCACACTTGGCACGAGTTCATGCATGCATGGCGTAATGACGTCCGAGGATTGCGTCCTTCGATCCGCCTTGTCGATACCATGCAGCGTCTTAGCAACGAAGGCAGTGTCAGCCCGAACAAGCCACACTTCCGGCCGAAGCCGACAGTCTACATCTGGACGACGTTAATATCTGCGTTCCTTTGGAACAAAGAACCGCGGGCGGCAGAGCACGTGATCGAGATGATGAAGAAGAGCAAGTTCAAGTTCAACCAGATCTTCTGGACCACCTTGATCGACGGCTATGCTCGGAACAAGGACATTCTCAAGGTCGCTGAAACCATCCGAGCGATGGAGAATGATGGCTATGAAATGGACGCGTTCTGCATCAAGGCGCTGCGCCACATTCAGGATCCGGAGCGACTGTGGGAGGCTGTGGAAGAGCTGGACAAGGAGACCGACGAGCAGGTAGACCGAACCACGTTCGAGTCCCTCACCAAGAAATCGCGTCTCGACGAGATTCAGGACGACCAGGGCGACCCAGATTGGCTGCTCGACCAGGGTCTTCAACGCTTGAAGGCCAAACAGGCTTGAAGGCCTCATCTCAAGCAGGCGCGGAACTAAGATACCCCCACTTTTTTTTCTTTGGGTGCAACTCGGATTGATTCTTCAGCATAGCTGGTGTACATGGGAGGGAGAGCATGGCGGTTGTTATATAGAGCGTTTTGCGGCGTCCAGAAAGGCACAAGATATACTTCGTGGAGTAAAGTCACATTTCTTCGATATCATGTACATATCCATCACTTCTAAAATTCAAGAAGAAACCATCAAGCTTCATGCTACACAAACGGCATGGTGAGAGTGAAAAACTTCAAATTAACGCCACTGGCTGATGTAAAGGACAGTATACTACCATGCTATTTCCTGAACCCGTGAGAAAAGCAAGACACCTCGATCAGCCGCCGAAGAAGATGGAAACCTAGAAGAGCAAGAACCATCAGCATCTGGAACTCGACTTGAGGGGCTATCCCTCTTGTCATTCGAGTGAATGGGCACTTACAGCCATCACCACGCAGCAAATACTGACGTAGGGACTCAGCCGTTCACCGATGCGAGCACATTTCCAGAAGATACCGAAGAAGCTACAGGCAGGCGTCAGAGAAGTTTCGTCCGGTGAATGAGAGGAAAGGGTGCCGTTTGGTGAGGCCCTGCTGATAGCAACCAACAACATAACACATACCCATTCTGATTCCGATCCATGATTCCCGGCATGATCGAGTGGGCGTAGGTGCTCGTACAGATGATAAGCAGGAAGACCAGCAGAAGTGACTGGAAATTGAAGAGAGCCGACTGAGTTTACAAGACCAAGTCAGCATCACCATTTGTGAAAGATCCTTCAATCGCACTGCGCTGCATCTCACTTACCATCTTGACGAAGGGACCGAACCAGCTGCCTGGCCTCCTGTTCTTGTTGTTTCTTCAAATGCAAGCTCGCAAGGAAGGGGCCTTCTCTTCTTCCGAAACAACCTCACTGCAAACACAGAGATTCCGCTCGAAGTCTTTCTCAAGGACTTGATACCTTCAAAGAACACACAGTAGTTGGCTTCACCAGCTCGTCGTCGTTATCGTCATCATCGATCGATCATCCTTCGACGGCGGAGGGGGATTCATTCTGCCAGCATGTCGTCCGGAAGTTACCGCCACCGCCTTACGGGGTCGAGGCCCGCGCTCCGCTATGCGCCGTCGCCGCGGGTCCGTCCTACAGCCCGTGTTACCTGGACTACTCCTACTACAACAAGACCTTCACCACCACTACAACCACAACCACAACAACCACAACAAAAACCATCATCATCATCCTCTGCACCGCAGACCACAACCCCGCGCGCTGCTCAGCCGCCCCCTTCCACCCGGACAGTCTCGTCCGGCCCTCCCCGCCAGCGCAGCACAGGCCATGTGTCGAGTAAACTCGCCCCTCCTTGGCCCTGGAACCCCGAAGAAACAGACCTGATTCACGCCGGCTATCGACCCGCCTACCCTCCTCCTTCTCCTGCTCCTCCTAAAGTCGACGCAGCAACCGAATCAGCATCAGCATCAACATCAGCACCAAACCTCCAAACCACAACCAAGCTCAAACCCAAACCCAACAAAACCAAACCCACCCCCAAGAAAATGGCCGAACCTCGAGCCCGTGCCGCCCGGCACAAAGGGCAGATGAACTTCGCCTCAGAGCGTACGTTGCTTGCCTTCCAGATACTGCCCCCCCCCCCCCCCTCCAAAAACAAACCCCCTTCCGAGAAGATAACTAATAGCAGAGAAAAAACAGTCCGCCTCCTCCTCCTGGCCTACGGCGATCCAAGCCCCCACCCCTCCTTCCCCTCCGAACCTCTCCCGGAAACCGTCCGCGTCCTCGACGAGATCGTCACCGACTTCGTGCTGGAGATGTGCCACGGCGCCGCGCAGTACGCGAGCTACTCGCGCCGCCAGAAGATCAAAGTCGACGACTTCCGGTTCGCGCTGCGCCGGGACCCCAACAAGCTCGGCCGCGTGCAGGAGCTGCTGCGCATGGAGCGCGAGCTGAAGGAGGCGCGGAAGGCGTTCGATCAGAATGATGATCAGGTTGGGAATCTGAAGGATGCGGCCGCCGCCGCCGCGGCGAAGAAGGGTGCAGGAGGTGGTGCTGCAGCGGCGGCGGCGGCGGCCGGAGACGAGGATTTCGGGGCGGCGGAGAGTGTGGATGGGAGAAAGAGTAGAGGGAAAGGGAAGAGGAGTGCTGCTGCCAGAAGGGATTCGGATGTCACCGAGGAGGGTAGTGTGACGGCTGGGGTGGCGAAGAAGAGGAAGGTGGGTGGTGGTTGAAAATCTGCGTTTCATTCGTTTCTTGGCTGGCTATGTTTGCTACATGGCGTTCTCGGGGTTTTTTCTTATATCGCGGCGTGGGCTGGCTATCAGGATTGCATTGTGCATCGGGTGTATTTATATAAAGTGATATCCCATTATTCAGTTATCATTGACAGGGGGGCGTTGATAGTGAGAAACCATACACTGAAATTTCAACACGCATTGTTGTTCTTGCATCCAAAGTTCAAAAATACATCTCTACTCTTACGATAAGCCCGCCGATCTCGAACTAAACCTTCGGGACTATCTTATCAGTTGCACCGCCACCCCAGTCAATACTTTATATATCCAGCCTCACACTAGTCAGCTCTCGACATTGCAAAGACCCCAGGACTCCGTACACCTTCTCTACTCAGTCCGGATGGAAGTTGATGAAACATGCATGCAATAGTTCCTCTACCCTAAAAGCAAATTCTATTTCCTCTCGGCTCGCTGCATAAAGTACTCCTTTTTTTGTCCTCTTCCTTCCCATGAGCGGGTTGCTTTTTCCAATCATTCCGAACAAAAGCCAGACGGACTCCCAAGACGCCGTGCTCTTTCTCTTCTACTCACTTTTGTTGTCAGCTTTGCAGGTCCCGTTGGTTAGAGAGGGATTGTTTGCTCCCAAGGAGATACAGGTCAGCCTGGAATTTCGTTGGCTGGATGCGACTGACAAGCACGGAACTATCCTCTCCGAGCTGGAGCTGGAGCTGGAGCCGAAAGAGGGCATAGTTTGGCAGCAGACAGATATCCCAGACAAGATCAAACAAAAGAGATTCTCCAGGGGCAGGTAAGTATGTGTGGATGTGGGGAGCGTTGTATGTATAGAAAGTGCTGGTATCGCGGCCTGAGCCTTCGCAAGCTGAAGCGCAATACCAAGCAAGCCAGAAACTTAAGCTGACCAACATGAAAATTGCGGAAGATTCATGGAAACCGTTAAGGGGATCAATATGCACGGAGAAAAGACCAAGTCGAGACAAAGAAAAGATATGAGAAAAATGTGGGTGGGACGGTGGTTGAAGAGAGAAAAAAATGGAAGGTATCGTTTTTCTTTTGTCTTTAAATCAGAACCCTATCATAATATCCTCTTTACGCGCGAGCCTCCTCGCCGCTCCGCTCTTGAGTCCGCTGCTGACCACCACGGCCTCCCTTGCCGCCCCGCTGTCCGCCGCGCTGGGCGCCGGACTCGCCGCTGCCCTCGCCGCCCAGGGTCAGCTGTGCGGTGGCTAGCCGGTTGGACAGCTCCATCTGCGTGCGGATGGTGTTGGCCAGGTACGACACAACCAGGACGTCCTGGATGTGGTTGTTGCTGCAGGGATTGGGTTAGTTTTTGATGCTTTGTTTGGTGTACTGGGGCAGACAGGAAGAAAACTTACAAGTCACGCTCAATGTCGGCGGGCTCGACCTTAGGAGCCAAGGCGAGCGTGTTGAGCAGGTACTGGCCCATGGCCGTGGAGGCGGGAGCCTCCTCGTCGATCACGGACTCGACATAGCGGGAAACGCGGTCGATCATACCGAGAACCTCCTCGATGGCGCGCTCGAGGGCCTCGATGTCGGTGAAGATGTTGGCGGAGCGCTCCTCGGCATCCCGGGCAGCGGCAATGGCCTCGAGACCGCTCTTCTCGGCCTCGCCGTAACGGATCTCATAGGGAACGGGGATGAAGGCAGCGCTGTCGGCAGCACGCTCAGCGGTCACGCCGACGGGGGCAGAGATGTAGGCGCGGGTCTCGATGTCCTTGCCGGCCTCGGTGGAGACGGTCAAGTGAACGGCGGGGTGAGGCCACGTGCCGTCGCCCTGGCCGCTGTAGAAATTTTGGATCAAGGCCGAGAAGGTGTTGAGCTCGGACGAGGTGGCGTACCAACCCACGAGGACCTCCTTGGGGTTGGCCTTCAGGTGCAGGGCGAGCATCTGCTTCTGGTATTCCATATCCACCTCAACCTGGTCTGTCGTCTCGGTGTGGCCCACGGCGAAGGTGCTGCGGATCTCGACTTCGGTGCCATCCTCGGACCTGGTTCCCAGAAGAGTACCGATGACACGCTCCTGGTCGGCATTGCGACGGAGAGAGTGGTCCAGGATGGAGAACAGAGCCTAGCAGCAACCATCAATCAAATTGCTCCCGGGTGAAAGAACTTCAGCAAAGCAAGCTCAAGCTCGACCTACCTGAGGCTGAATAACAACATTCACAGGGGCGGTCGTCGGTGCAGACCCCACTGCCACGGGACCCAGAGGGCGGGCGAGATGGACGAAGGAATCGGTGTCAGCCATGATGGGAGTGAGGGAGAGAGAGAGAGAGCAAAGGTGGTAATGTAATTGGAAGGAGGGAAGGAGCTTAAGATGGCTGATTCACACAGCAGTCGGAGATCTCTCTGTTTGGTCTCCGGGGTGGGGTTGTGATGGTGGCTCTTCTGGGGAGGGAGGATTAAATCTTCTCTTTCCGCCTCTGGGCTGCGGCGGACGGAGGTTCTGCTGCGAGCCTCAAATTGTGTGTGCGCAAAGGGAATTTCGCGCTAAGATAAGATAAGCACCGCCGCCCAGATTCAACCCGCCTTGTGAAAAAAAGAGTTTCTGGTCGGGTTTCCCGTCTGTTCACTAGCTACAAATTTACCGGTCAGTTCGCATTCAATCAATTTCTGCAATTATCCACAATGGCTCCTCCTCGTGGTAGAGGTAGAGCTCCTAGAGGGCGCGGAAAGCGCACCCGTGGCGGCGTTAGTCGCAGAGATGCCTTCCAAGCATCCCGAGTCGATGAGATCCAGTGAGCGCTCCATCATATTCGCGTCTAACACAAGTCACGCCAGCTGACCGATTGTGGCAGGTCGGAAGCCTCGTCTGACAGTGAGGATGGCTCATTCGACGAGCCTATGGAGGATGCCGTGGCCGACGAAGAACTCTTGGACCAGGACTCGTCCGATAGCGAAGAGGAAGCGGACCAGAAGGGACATTCCTATAACGAGTTGTTGCAACTACTGAACGCCGGCAATGACGCCAATGGCCCCGCTCGCAAGAAGCGAAAGACCGATCACCGAAAAGCCGAGATTAAAGAGGTGACCCGCGATGACGCAGAAGAGGACGAGGATGAGGCTTTGTTGGGAGAGGACGATCTAGAGCAACGAGCACCGTCGGACGCCGAGGACGAAGACAATCAGCCCGAAGAAGAGGCAGAGTTACAAGCAGACAGTGATGATGAAGATGGTAGGAAGATCTGGACAATCTTCGATAATCGGGACATAGCCCGCTGATGCGCAGCAGATAATGATCCTTTCGACACCCACTTCAACGCCCTCAAAGAAGAGGACTTGAACAAGAGGATTAAGGCCATTGAGGAGAAAAAGTGGAAGAGTACCAAGAAGGAACTTGCCGAGGGGCTGAAGTTTGTGCGCTCCATTCCTGATACGGGCGACGATGCATCCTTGTTGGCCGCAATGAAGAGCATCTCGAGCGTCAAGGTAGGCCAAATTGCACCAAGTCTCCACACGACCAGACGGAAGTCTAACACACATCGTTGCTCTTAGCTCAAGAAGAAGCTCAAGGCTCCTGCGACGGAACATATCTCCAAGATCGATGGCGATGCTCAACAGCTTGCGCCCTACGTTTTCGACTACCAGGATGTCCTTTATGGCGCTCGCACGGCAGACAACGCAGCTCACCTGCGAGATCTCTTGGCTCTGCATGCGACGAATCATGTATTGAAGACGCGCGACCGCGTCCTCAAGAACAACGCTCGCGTGGCCAAGGAACAAGATTCCGACCTGGACGTCCGGGATCAGGGTTTCACCCGGCCCAAGGTGCTGTACCTGCTGCCCACCAAGCAAGCCTGTGTGCGGGCGGTGGACGCCATCACGCGGTTCTTCCAGCCCGAGCAACAGGAGAACCGCAAGCGACTTCTCGACACCTTCTCGTCTGCTGACGACAAGTCCTGGGAGAACAAGCCGGACGACTTCCGCGACCTGTTCGGCGGCAACGACGATGACATGTTCCGCCTGGGTCTCAAATTCACGCGCAAGACCGTGAAGTACTTTGCTCAATTCTACACATCCGACATGATCCTTGCCAGTCCGCTCGGTCTGCGCACAATCATGGACCAAGCCGAGTAAGCAACTTTCTTCTTCGCTGACCCTCACCCTTCCCCCCCCGAGAACGTGACCGAATAGCTTACTGACCCCCCTCCTCTCCTAGCGCGAAGAAGCGTGATCACGATTTCCTATCCTCGATCGAAGTTGTCATCATCGACCACGCGGACGGCCTGCTCATGCAGAACTGGGATCACGTCGACTACATCCTCAAGCATCTGAACCTGCAGCCGCGGGAGGCGCACGGCTGCGACTTCAGCCGGGTGCGGACGTGGTACCTGGACAACCAGGCGCGGCACGTCCGGCAGATGATCATGCTGTCCTCGTTCCTGACGCCGGAGATGAACGCGGCGTTCTCGACGCAGATGCAGAACGTCTTCGGCCGGGTGAAGGTCAGCCCGGTCTACGCGGGCGCCATCGGGGAACTGGCGCTCCCCGTGCCCGTGCGGCAGACCTTCTCGCGCTTCGACAGCCTCTCGCCGGCCAAGGACCCGGACGCGCGGTTCAAGCACTTCACGACGACCGTGCTGTCGTCGCTGGTGCGCGACCTCAGCAAGAACGGCGGCGGCGGCGGCACGCTGATCTTCATCCCGTCGTACCTGGACTTCGTGCGCGTGCGCAACTACTTCGCCACCTCGACGCAGACGACCCACGTTTCCTTCGGTGCCATCAGCGAGTACACGGACGTGCGTGAGGGCACGCGCGCCCGCACCCACTTCGTGCAGGGCCGCCACTCGGTGCTGCTGTACACCGAGCGCATCCACCACTTCCGCCGCTACCAGCTCCGCGGCGTCAAGCGCATCATCATGTACGGGGTGCCCGAAAACCCGACCTTCTACGCCGAGATCGTGGGCTTCCTGGGCCTGGACCCCGCGCAGGCCGCCGAGGCCGCCCAGGGCGGCGGCGTCCGCGCCCTGTTCTCCAAGTGGGATGCCCTGAAGCTGGAGCGGATCGTCGGGACGAAGCGCCTCGGCAACATGATGCGCGAGAAGGGCGGGGATACTTTCACCTTCATGTAGATAGATAGGTCTAGGTCTGCAGCTTCAAGCTGTATGTAACTATTAGTACCGGTAGTGTAACTACTGGTTCGGAGAGTAAGTCCGACATCGTTCCCGTCTCAGCAACGGCCATAATCCTCCAGCCAGCCCCTGCAGTGCAGGGGGGCCCTGGTCTATTGTTCTCTTTCCCTAAAATCAATTCTTCATTCATAATCACCCAGATAACAACTACGTATTTTATGTGTAATCCCAGCATCTTTGATCATGCGGACCCGCAAAATGTCAAGATCAGCGTGCCAATCCCCAATCCACTTTTACACAGGAAAAACCATTCGGCTCCTTCACCGACATCCGTAGATCGGAGGAGGAGGGGGTGGGTGGGAGCAGCAAAAGAAAAACCCAGTGCTACTGTAGCCTCACGATATAACAAACATCACATGTAGAGGGGAACACCTTGGTTCAAATTTCGTTATAAAGTGATATACTACGAACTTTGTGTAGTAAAACCCAATTGTATTTAGACAGCAAAAATCTGTCTATTCGCGATTCGTGATAGCATAAGGCTACAGTAACCGGGCAGAATGGATGCCTACTGCTAACACCTTCAACCCCAGTAAGTCTAAGGTCTCGTTTGTTCAAGCTCAGCTGATCTACTCTTTCGATAGAATCACAATCAAGGTCTGGTCTGTTGTTTTCAAAAAAGCTCGTCAAGTGCGCGAAAAGCGGTGATTAGTCATTCTGGGGGGGGGCGTCCTTGTACTTAGTACATTTTTTTTTTTGCCCTCGCATTTCTCTTTCCTCCGGCTGCTCTTATTAAATTCCTTATCGTCTCTGTTTTGTTGACGGAGAGGTTCAGGATAGGACCAGGGGAATGACTAAAGGTATATATACAGCACGTCTACGATAGAATCTGTGTATATTTCCTTATCGCCTTCAGATCGGATCGACTTGTGAGAAAGCTTGAAGTACTGAACAGTACCCAGTACATGTGCAATCATTCCCAAACCAGGGACAAACCGGAAAACAACCTCGGATAACAAACACAAATCAGCCTCCAGAAAAACACGAGGCACTTACAAAATGGCCACCTGCGTCACTTCTCGATCCCACGAGGATCCGAGCCAGCGGGAGACGATAAGAGAAGCACCCAGCGAGCAGAGTCCCCTTCTGGCTCGCTCATCACCAGCGACGATGCCTGATGAATTGACCTCAGCTTCCTCCCACCACCAGTCGTCCTGGTGGTCTTCCCTGCGCCACTCGAGCCAGGAGCTCTGGCTGCAGGGAAAGGGTATGATCTTTGTTTTGGGCGCCCAGTTTTTCGGCGCTACTATGAATGTCATGACGCAGGTTCTGGAGATCAAGGGGAATAATGGGATGGGCTATCATCCGTTTCAGGTATGTCTTGATCGCGTGCCGCTTTGCTTGATCGGTTGTGTGAAACCAGACGTTCGCTGCTGTGCTAGTCAACCGTTAACCCCCCCGCAGATCCTCTTTGCGCGCATGTCAATCACTGTCATAGCCAGTTATCTGTATATGTGGTACACCAAAGTGCCGCAGCCGCTTGGGACCAAGCCGATCTTGTTGCTTCTGTTCCTACGTGCCAGCGGTGGCTTCTTCGGCGTCTATGGGCTGTACTACTCAGTGCAGTATCTGCCTCTGTCCGAGGCCACTGTGGTCACCTTCTTAGTTCCCATCCTTACCGGATACGCCTGCTCCTTGTTCATCCCTCGCGAGACGTTCACCCGCAAGCAGTTAATGGCTGGGCTCGTGTCCCTGATCGGTGTAATTCTGATCGCTCGCCCTTTCGCCTTCATGCGCTCGGGGGAAGAGACTGACGATGGAGAGTCAGGCGATAAGCCCGGTGCAACGGACAGCTATCACCACGTTTTGGCGATTGCTGTTGCCCTGCTGGGTGTCCTAGGAGCCACTTGTGCTTATACGACCATTCGAATGATCGGCCGGCGCTGTCACCCACTCGTATCTGTCACCTGGTTCTCGTCGTACACGACGATTGTCGCCTCTCTCGCGATGCTGCTGGTTCCGTCCATCCCCTTCGCGTTGCCGGTTACTCTGTTTGAATGGACTCTGCTGCTGGGTCTCGGAGTGTGCGGATTCCTGTTGCAGTTTCTCCTCACGGCTGGCCTGTCTTATGTTCCGCCGGAACGGGCGCCCAAAGATCTTGCGACAGGCTGGGAATCGAACTCGTATGGTACTCAAGCGACCGGCCGTGTAGAGGATGAAGAGCAATTGCAGGGACAGCAGCAGCAGCAGCAGCAGCAAGCCGAAACGAAGCCTCCTGCAGCAAAGACCTCGTCCGGGTCACGCGCTACGTTCATGATTTACACCCAGATGTTGTTCGCGCTGTTCTATGACCGCATGGTCTGGGGTAGCACACTGTCTCCGGTGAGTTGGGTCGGATCGGGTTTAATTCTGGGCTGTGCCATCTATGTGGCCGTTGCACGAGAGGACCAGAAACCCGAGAATGGCTCAGTTGAGACTGCCAGCAAGAACGACGTCACAGCTGCAGAAACAGTCGATGAGGAAAGTGAACGGCTGGAGGTAAGCGGGACGAGGTAGACGCGGGGCATGCAGCTGGATACATACTTCCTGCAAGTGAGCATAATAGGGAGGTCGATCTGAGGCAATTAACCCTTGGATTGATACACATAAAAAATCAAGTCGACTCCTGGGTAGTAAAGAATGCAACCCCATGGCAGATTCGGCTAGTGCGGGAGGGGCATAAAAAGCGGAGCAAGCGACCTGCATACACGGAATGCAGTAGTAGGACGCTGTGATTTAGAAGGGTGATGAGCGAAGTGCATGAGTGTATGAACTATATGACGAATGAGACGAAATGAAGTGATGCAAGAAAGAGGTTTGAGTGTTCAAGTATGAGTGCAGTGGATGGAGTAGAAAAGGAAGGTGCGGGGTGGGACTCGACTCGACGGGACTCGGTTGACTTGCCTTTTTGACCAATAATCCGACCCCAGGTGGGTTTTCTTGTCGATCCGGGGATGAACGGAGTAATCCATGATCTACTCATATCTATCAATCCAATACACCAATTTAACTCAACTTCCACTTCCACTCCCACAAATTGATCTTGCACCATCTCTCTGACTTTGGAGTCACCTACTTACCATAGGACTAGCACTAAAACACGCCGAACAAACACGATAACCCACAATCTCACCAAGCAAACCTAACCTGAAGGCAACCGACCATCCGTCTCTCCGGTATGCCGCAGCACAGTCTCCCTCGAATTGTCGGCTCGGAGCACTCTCGTCCTATGCAGCCATGCAGCCATGAAACCCAATGCATTGCAACTGTCCCTGCCAGAGAAACGAGGCCTCACTTCGTGGTGGTGTGATTGGACGCCACGACGTCATTTAGCTGCTTCTCCCCATCGGCTGGACTCACGGAAGAACCCGAGGTTGACCGCGAACGGCCATGATTGGGGGCAGCCTGAGTGTGATTGCCAGTGGCGTTACCACCTACTGTCTCTATGATTTGATGGACTTACCGAGTAGAGTGGGCAATGGAGAGTACTTTTGACCCGATATGGCTGGAGAAAAGGGGAAGCTTATATAGAGTGTGCAGCCTCATCTCGCCTTTCCTTTTTCCTCCCTACACAGCCAATCGCTTTTCCTACACTCTTTACTTCGTTCTTTCGTGCTTCTTCTAGATATAGACAAAAGTCTCGATACAATGCGCCATTTCGACGCCTGGTTCCTCCGCGACCCCTACTCAATCTTCCACTACTATCCCACCAACCGCCGCTGGTCAGAAAACATCCGCGAACTTATCCAAGAACGCCAAGTCTGCGCCCCAGTCCCGTCTGCCTCTGCATTCACACCATCAACCCCGGATATTTTCTTGAAAATCGACCCCCAACTCAACAGCCCCCTCTTCAACCGCCTGCCCCCGGAGATCCGATCCATAATCTGGTCCCACGTCTTCGGCGAGCCCGTCCTCCACCTCGTTCAGATCCGCAATCAAATCCGCCACGTGCGCTGCCCCAACTCTGTCTCTGCGATTGACAGGAACCGGCGCTGCTGTCCGGTCACCGCCGCGCGATGGCGTACAGACGTTGATACCTCGTCCGCTGCTTCACCAACCGACAGCAACAGCACCAACAAACAACACCCCAACACCGACCCCAACAGTAAACTCTACCCTCACACCCACCCCTCCCTCCCCTCACATCTCAGCACCACGCCAGCAAGCCTGCTGCGCACCTGCCGCGCGATCTACAACGAAGCAGCACCCCAGCTGTACCGCCAGGCGACCTTCGATGTCGACGACCTATCGACCTGGATCGCATTCACCGACCAGGTCAACCCGACCTGCCTGCAGGAGGTGCGGAAATTGAGCGTGCAGGTCGTCCCGCTGGGAGGGATGTTCCACGACCGGGAGACCAGCCATAGTCATAACCACATCGACAGCAACAGTAACAGCAACAGTAACAGTAACAGCAACAGCAACAACCCACCACCGCCACCACCAACAGAAACAGCAGGAGCTTCCACCAACACCAGACCCCCCCACTCAATCCACACTTACACGCACAACCCCCACCTCTGGACAACCTTCTGGCAAAGAACCACCACCCAGTGCCCGCACCTCACTGACCTAACCCTCTGCATCGACCTGGGCCGCTTCACCGCAACCGCCGCCCCCACCGCCACGAACCCAGCCGCGGGCAGCATAACCGGCGGCTACAAGCTCCCGCTCCACGCCGGCGTGAATGCGGAATGGCTACGACCCATCGTCCAGCGGGTGCGCGGATTGAAGCGGTTCGAGCTGGCGGTCACGGCGCGGTGCGATGCGGCGGCGCGGGCGGGGGTGGAGCGGGAGGTCGGCGGGGTGGAGCGGCTGGGGCGGTTGCGGGCGGAGATTCGGGGGTGGGTTTGTTCGGGCCGTTGCACGGGATTTGAGGAGGGACAGGATGATGCGGCGGCGGCGGCGGCGGCGGAGTATGGGTATGACTATGGGTACGGGTTCAGAGCTGGGAAGGAGGGGTGGCAGAGAAGAAAGCGGAGGTTAGCTATTTGTTCGGCTTGATTTCCATAGAATCTCCTCGGGAGGGAGGGAGAGATAGATTGACGATAGACGATAGATTCATAGATACCCTTTTCTTTCTTTCACATCCGTCCAGCAACGTACCTGACAACCTCTAAATCGTGAGGCGAGGTGAGGTCACTCGCATTCTATCCTTATACATCAAGTGCAGTACATATACACACTAAGTTACACTCCGAGTGACAACACACCATCCAAAAGTAAAAGTCCCAATTCATCTATAACAATTTAGTCTCTCTGTACAGTACAGTACACATCATCATATTAAGCCCCTGCATCCCATCCCGTGCAGAAACACCACCTCCCCAAAAAAACAACCTCCATCTCAAGGAAATAGTCCTTTCCCCTAAAGCAATATCCCACCCCATCAAATAATGATACATCGCCCGTAACAATTTTGTCGGAACCAGAGAAGAAAAGGTCCGTAAAGATACATATTACTCATTTTTTTTCTAGTCCCACATCGAAATTGAGATTCCCTTGGTTGATGCACGGCTCTTCTCATATGAGGCTGCTCGTGTAAGGCTTCCGCGAGATAAGAGGAAGTGAGGAGGCAAAAGAAAAGAAAAGAAAGGGTTGATGTCCAATTTCGGAAGTTAAGCTCATACCCAGACCGGTCCTTTTGCTAACCTTACATTATCTGGAGGGAGAGAGGTTGTGGGAAAGGGAGACATGAACCAAGAAGGTAGGTGAATTAGGTTGCCCAGTGGGTTGAGGGGTTCGGGGCGAGAAACGACAAGAGCAGAAACAAAGTATCATCAAGTAAGAACACATATCACTCATGCCCGGGAACCAGCTGCATGTTGTTGTTCATACTCGTGTTCTTGTTGTAGCTGTTGGCCGCTGCTGCGCTCGGCCTCTGATTCATGTTCCTCCTCGCTGGTGGGGGAAGGGGCCCGACTGCCCACTAACGAGCGACGGCTGCGCATCTAGACCGAAATTTGTGAGCAGGCTGCACCCTCCTTTGCATCGCGACTTCAGGAACTCACCCATGATCGAACGCCACCAATCAGACCCAGACTGTACCCAGTGGCAAAGTAATCAGGGGGTTCGTTGCGGCCAGTGCCCATGGGGCTGTCGGGACGGCCCAGAGCCTCAACCCGCGAGACATGCGACTTGTTCCCCAGCACGGGGCTCGTCAGTCCGCTCGTCAGTCCACTGCGCGAGCCGCCCAAGTCCACGCTGTTGCGGGTGCTGGGCGCCGGGCTGCCGGGGCGGCTGTTCTGCCAGAACTGGCGCAGCTCGCGACCCAATTCCTGGCCCGTGGTAGTCCAGTTGGCCCGGATGTTGTCGCGCAGCTCCGACACATGACGCTTGATCTCCAACTCGTTCTTCTTGATCCATGACACGTTCAGTTCCTGACGCGAGGCTCCGCGCTTGAATTGGCGCGAAATGTATTGATCGTAGTCGCGGACAATCCTGAATCGAATCAGCTTCGCCAGCTCATTCACATCCCAACCGCGGAAACCCACCTGGTGATGATGCCCGTAGTGCTGACACCTTCCGTGCGCTGCGTGACCAGGAACTTCCCCTCTCGCTTGATCGGGGCGTAGATGTCGTCGCCCTCATCCGCACCATACGGCAGGTCGTCATGTGCCACATAATCAATCTTGTGCTCCTCGAGGAACGCCGGGGTCAAAATCCAAGGACAATCGGGGATCACCTCGTCCACCCATTTACAGTGCCGCAGGGACTCTGCACGCTCTGCGCCACTCAAGACCGTCAATCCCTTGCGCTTGTGTGTCTCCTCATCACCCGTGACACCGACAATCAGATATACGTCGGGGAAAGCCTTCTTCGCCTGTTCCAACTGCCGCATGTGACTGGTGATCACCACGCCGGTTAGCCATCGATAAACGGAATGCACCGTAACGGAAAAAAGGACAGCACGTACCCCAAGTGGAACAAATCGAACACTCCGTCCGCGTACACCCGCACCGGGCGACCCACCGGAGGCGGGTTGGTGTGATAACCAACGGGATCCTGGAGCCCACCGCGTTTTGGAGGCTCCAACAAGTGCTCTGGGGGTGCCGTCGTGTCGATCTGCAAGCCCGGTCGGGTGCTCTGACTCTCGATGTCGCTGCTGGCCACGGTAGTCTCGGACGGCTCGCCCGGGTCTTCCTTGTTTAGCGCTCCCGCCGCATTGCCGTTGGACAGATGACCGTGGTTATTGTTGTCGCTGACGGAAGCCTTCCGGGCCCGCTTGGACGGGGGCACAGCGCCGGTCGATGTTACGTCCTGGGACGGCTGTTTCTTGTGTTTGCTGGGGCTGGGCAGTGGGATAGCTGGGCCGGTGGAGTCGTCGCCTTCCTCGCCGGACGCATCGCGGGAGGAAGGTTGCAAAAGATCTGCAGGCGCAGGAACGGCAGTAGGATGGTGTTGGGAGCCACTGCGCTTGCGTTTTCCGGACGGAGGAGAGGACATGGTGGCTGACTGACTGAGGGAGCGCAGCTCAACTTCTGTCGAGGAAGGATTAGGAGAGAGGGAAGGAGGAGAGAGAGAAGAGATGGGGTGTTGGGGGGGGGGGGGAGAAGAGGAAGAAGAAGTAAAGAAAAGGGATACGGACGGGGAAGAAAGTCCGAAAGTAATGGGAGGACGGTGTGGAAGCGAAAGGGGAGGTGAGACAAGAAGAAAGTAGGATGACGGAGAAGGATGAGCAGCGACAGAGCAAGCAGAACGAGAGCACGCACGAGAGAGCAGAGCAGAAGCCGGACGGGAGGTCCCGGTGGAGGTCCGGTAGAGGAACGGTAGAGCACTAGACTACAGGTGCAAAACACGGGCTTCCAGACGGAGCATTGATTTAACCCAATGCAGAAGAACAGACAGGACCCTGAAATCGGATCCGAAGGGGGAGTTCTTGGAATTGTCTTCAGGGGGAGGAGAAATGCAATGAGTCCGTCCAAGACTGAGAGGACAGACAATCTATCTTACAGTAGAATCAAAACTCTGCGGGCAGAAAAGATACAATAAGTTACGGTATGGTACTCCGTACTAGGTCATTGATTGAAGCTGACACCGCCCCCCGAAAGGGTCCATCCGCTGCCCCAACAATTCCAATGGTTCCGAGCTAGTTTATGATGAATGGAGTTATGAAAGTAACTAACTTACTTATGCTCAGCCTCACAATCTAGGAAGTCGTGCACGAAGTCGTGCACTAACATCTTCCCCTATGGCCTGCATCCGTCCAGACCAGAGCCATTGGTTCAATGTTTCCGGTTGGAGGTGGGGGATGATAATGTTGATTGTTGTCTGGATAGAATTGATGTTGTCATCATCATCTCCAAAACTTCTCCCAAAATATCCCCAAGCCACACTAGCCTTGTTGAGTTTAGCTCGGTCGCCTATACTTCCCTCCTCGCAAAGTAAACCATCTTTCAGTTGACCCTCACTCATCCTTGATCCATTTGCCTATTACCCACTTGCAGTATCGCTAGGGCTTCAAAGAGAGCATTGTATTGTATATGCATCGTGACCATTGAAGGCTAATCAGATCGCGTAAGACTGAAGCCATCCTCATGCCTGAGCGAGTCTACACTGTCATCACCACGGACACAGGCAGTCACAAGTTCCCAGAACTAAGCCTAAGTACCTACAAAGGCCTTCCCTTTTAGTATCTACAACCTACGTTTCACACGCTAAGAGCCAACGGTGTCTATATGCATACCAGATGAAAAAGGACATCAGATACATGGCCGTATCCATCCCATTCCAGAAACTCCGCTGCCGAAGGAAGCTGTCCACTCGACATGCCACACTATCACGGACAGGTCCGCAGGTCTTTCGCAGATGTCGTTTCCCTGCAGGACGCGTAACCGTTCCCCCATGTCCAGTCAACTACAACTGACCTTTCTTCCCGGTCTTAACGCCGGCTACGCGCCTTCCCGTTGACCCCGGGATAAAAAAGGCCCAAGTTGTGGCTGCCACCGTCGCCGGGGAGGGAACGAAGATAGTGACATGGGAGTTGGGGAGCGAGTAGAGAAAACGAAACAAGTCGTTGTAGAAATATGAAAGGTTCATCAACACTGGGCGTTTTGTGCGGTATCTTGTGTGTCAAGGCATGAAACAGACGTGCTCTCGTGAGACCTGCCGCTCGCGGCTTCGAATGTGGAATAGAAAAGAAAAGCTGTAACGAGAAACCCCATCCCAATCCCGTGAACTCACCCCGGCAAGACACAATAAAGATGTGAAGGGGGAGCTCGACAGTCGCTATTCCCTGCTTGTTTCATTCCGTCCACAACCGTTGAACCAGTCAATGCCAGGGAGCTGGATGGATGTAGAGAGAGTAGGTGTAAATTCGGAAGAGAAATAACATGGCGCTTCGGATAACATGTGGAGAACAGAACAATAAGGGGGAAGAATAGCGACACTGTCAATGAATCACACGACGATCAGGAAACCCAAAAGAAAAAAGAAAAGGACATCAACAGCGGAAAAATGCAACAGATCCATTCCATCATGACTACACATTAGTAGGTTTCTGCGGCGTTCCAGGGGCACTGGTGGAAGAGCTCTCCGCGGTGGTAGACGGCGACTGCGAGATGGTTGTAGATCCATCGGCCTTGGGGGTGCTATCCTTGGATTGTGGCCCAGGGGTTCCTTCGCGATCGCTCCGTCCCGCGTCAGTAGAGTCATGCTGCACCTGATTGCCGAGGTCCCGGTCTTCCTCAGTATGGTCAAACAGCTCGTCATCGTTCTGCTCCGGAATCAATTCTGTGCCATCGCCCAAGAGAATGATGCGGCCCGAGCGTACACTGAAGCCACGGGAACGATCGTTTTCCACGTCATACTCATCGGGGTTCTCTTCGAACTGATTACGGATGCCGGGGCCGCGGAACTCAGCTGCTCCCCCGGTAAGTCAGTAGGAGTTGGGATTGGAGGCCTCGGGATCCTCGAGAGACTTGCCGTACTCGGGCGGGGCGCAGGGGCCGTCGCCGTTGGCCACGCGCTCAGCGATCTGATTGTACCACTCCTCTTTGGTCCTACCGTTCAGAAGACCGATGATGATCATAGTCATGTTGTCGCATCCAACGCCACCCGTCTCACTGTTGGAAGCCAGGCAATTGTCCATCATGTTCTCACAGATGCGGTGGAGGTCCTGCTTGGCGGCAATACCGCGACGAACGAACTCAACGACGGCCTGCGAGGTTTGGCAATCCCAGATACCTGCATTGACATTAGCACCCACTGAGCTGAACCCGGACTGGACGCGTGAAAGGGGGACATACCGTCGCAGGCGATAACGAGGAATTCATCGTCGTCAGTAAGGTCGTGGACAGTAACATCCGGGTAAGCGGTCACGATCTGCTGTTCGGGTGACAGCTCGGGACTCTTCTTAAATTCGAAATCTCCAATGGCACGGGACAGGGCCAGGTTGCCGTTGACACGGCCAAAGTCGACGAAGCCGCCTGCAGCGCTAATACGGGCCTTCTCGCCTGTATTCCATGTTTCAGCATAACCAACTCCAGCTCGAAGAGACCCAGCACCTCGTTACTGACCTTCATTTTGGGGCTTGTGATCAAAGGATAGGGGCTTCGCGCGGCCCTTCACACCGAGCACGGAACGGGAGTCACCAGCATTGGCCTATGCAGCGTTAAAATATCATTCCGATAGACAGCCAGCGCGGTTCCCCGAACGATTCCATATACGTACCACCCAGATCTTGTGCTTGGAAATGACGCTGACGGCTGCAGTGCAGCCAGACACTTCCTCTTCGTATTTAGGATCTAGCCGAATCAGTCCACTGTTATCTCGGGAAGAGAGGCGTGGGAGACAAAAAGTTGTCCCGGTGCCCGAAGCTGAAAGTTTACGAACCTTCCAGGATAGCGCGGTCGGTCGCAAGGAAACCGTCCTTCAAGGCTTGCTCAATATCGCCCTTAGCGAACGCATCCTGCTTTGCGACGATCTTGTGGACATTCTCTCCGGCGAATAAAGCTACTTTATCACCACCGTGTCCATCATATACACCAAAGAATGCGAGACGTTTGTCGGGATCGGTAGGGTTGTCGTTCTGCTCCGAGAACTTGGCCTGGAGGTCTAGCACGGCCGCATGGGCATCCTCCATGCTGATCCGCCAGCCCTGCATGGCCGAGACACCATATATACAACACTCATCCTGACCTTCAGCCGAATGCTGGACAATGCTCCGTCATGTTAGCAAAGTTGACATGTTAAGAGCGCGAAAAGACAGTAGATATGACAGGTCACCCGCTCGGAAGCCGCCTGCAGGAATTTTCATCATCTTGTGGAGGGACCCCGCAGACGTGGGAAGATCACCACGCTGCAGCCCCTCCGACCACCTGAGGAAGTGATGGCACGCATTTTGAACATGAATCCAGACAGTGGTACCGACAGTTATTCGAGTAACCCATACACATTGAGAAAGAAAGGGGAAGGAAATGGGTTGCGCGATGATAGGGGGAAGGCGGTTATAGGAATTGCGTAAGGCCTCTTGCAGTGTGGGGGGACGAAAGGCGAAGGCAAACGCATTGCTTCAGTTTCACGCACCTTCTCGACCACCGGCTCGGACAAGGTCTGACCCATGATATTTGACGGGAGATATTAATTAAAAGTTTGGCGCGAGAAGATGTATTGTTTCTTTTTTTTCACAAAGTGAGAGGGGAAGGAGGAGATGTAAGCTGAGTAGTAGAAAGGTTGAAGACAGGAAGGGGAAAAGTTTAACACACACGGAGAGAGAGTATCTGAGGGGGAAATGAGAAGAGCCAGTGACTGAACAGGATCAGGTGGGAAGGGGAAGGGAGAAAGACGGAGGAGAGAGAGACTAGACTCAGAGCGGGAGGAGGGGGAGTGAGAGAGTAGGTAAGAGAGAGAGAGAGAGGGGAGGGTAAGTTAACGGGCAGAATCACTACTATTAACGGAGGCGGCGTGACGGAAAGAAAGAAAAGCTGCCTACTAGTACTGTTGTTAAGGCGAGCCTTAGGCCTGTACAGAGAGGTATAGTGTGGTCAGTGTAGCTAGGTAACTACTGCTAACGGTAGTTAGGTAGTGACTGAGGGACTGAAGGACTACAGAGTAAGTTACTGTAGCCTGCCTGTAGTTAGGTGAAGTGAGCAGCCGCAGTCATTCATTATTCAAAAGACAATACCGGGGAGTGGGGAACCCGATTCAACGATGACGATACTTTGTCCACCGTGCTGGAAGATTGGCTGATCCCCTCCGATCCTGTCCAAGATCTGTCACCGTGTTCATTAACCACGGCTGACGAGTGACACGCGGAATCATATGGAATTATGACAGAAGTGGCAGAAATAGCAGGAAAGGGGCGAAGAGAAAGAAAATTGATGATGATGAGGATGATGATGATGATGATGATGATGATGATGGCGATGGTGTCACAGGCCTGGGGATGAGTTTTTTTTTGGCGTTATGATACTCTTGTACGGAGTAAGTTAATCAATTGCTTATGCTCTACAGATCACAAGGGCATCGGCAGCGCTCGTTGCAGCTGGCTGGCTACCTGCAGGTAGATCAATAGGCAACCCACAGGAGGTTTCAAAACACATTAACCTCGATAACAATAATGGAATAAAACTCAGTACCTCTTCTCTCTACCTCGAGCACTATGTCCCGAAGGTACTATTGTTCGCTGTTTTGGGTGGACCGCCTTCCTGTCGCGTGCCTTCAACCACAGGAAATGCCGGAAACAGCCTGACCCAACCCACTCAGCTCACCACGCACTAATACTGTGGACTCGTGGAGTGCCACAGAAGAAGCTGAGCTCTATTTAATCCTTCCGCTTCGTACATATTGTACTGTACATGCATACTCATACATACATCAAACATTATGTTATCGTCTGTGGCTGCTATCCGAAGTGAGAGACCGCCATTCATGCCAAGTCTCTGGCATTGAACCGGTATGGTCAATCTGACCTTGCAAACGAGCGTGCTCTAGACAGGTCTATGCTTCCTATACCTAACGTTACCCGAAGCTGTGTTTCAGTAGAAGATATTCGCAATCAATGTCTCAGACCTAACTTGATACATCAATGCCCATCAAATCTTGCTTAACTTAGGTGATTGCTACCTACGGTACTCCGTAAACAAGTCGGAAGTAGATAGTGAGACGAGGCGTGTGGAATTGGCTGCTAATGTCAGTTCTCGCAAGGGCTCTCTGCATTGCCTTGCTCAGCGCCGGTAATGCATTCAAGTTGTACCTTTGTATTGCTCGTTGAACAGAGTACTGTACCTGTTTTACCATTGTACAGTACCTTGAAGCGCTCTTGCTGTTTTCGGCAACTGCCTTTATACCCCGGGCCTGTTCAGTGTGGTGACTGCCTCAGGCAGGAAGCATCATGTACCACTACCTAGTACCTACCTGTGGTCGTACCTAGGTACCGACTACCTTAGGTAGCCGACTACTATACTTCTAGTCAGAGCCGCGCCTTCAACACTTCGCGGGCTTAGACCTGCCTTTCTACCCACACTCTTCGGAAAAGCCCATCAGTCATAATGAGATGAACACACAAGCACATGCAATCAGCAGGGAGAAGCTGCCATCGAAAGAGAAGGCGCCCGATTTAAAGAGAAGTCATCGCCATTTGATACAGCCCGTTGGGGAGCAATGCAGTCCGTGATTCACCTAGAGGGGCCACTCTTGTCACTGGACAGCAACGACGGCAAGCAGTGGGGGACTGGACTCTCTGCATCATGCGCAAGCATTAAATGAAGTATAACCAAGATTCTAGTGGGCTGAAGTACGAATGCAAGAGACTGCTAACCCGGCCAGCAGGTACAGACCAGTTGCAACCATCCATGGCAAACCCATCCATGCGCCCTCCCACGCCATTCCTGCTTTGAGAAGAGCTGCCAAAAGCGGTCCAGCTATCATAGACCCCACGGCCTCAGCCAGTGCAATTGTTGTGTTGAAGAGCCCGACATGGGTTTCTGCCACCAAGGCGCTTCCAACACTACGAAGTGTCGTGTAGAAACCCCACCCGAGGGCCGAGAAAGACAAACCTATGCCGAAAAGGGCTGGATGAACAGCTACCGACATTATACCGAATCCTGCCATCAGTACACAGATACTGCCGTGTGTGATTCGGAGATCTCTCCTTATCGGAGAGAGATAACCTCCAAGTATTCTGGAGATCAGAGGCAATATGATAATGAAGGCGACAAGGTTGACTACGCCTTTGAGGCTGATGAGGAATGTAGCCTACCCAGTTTCTTCTGTTAGTGACTTTCAGGTTAGTGGCTCGAACTGGGAAGGCATACCTCGGCCACACTCCACATGAAACGCTTGGAGGCATACTGCAGCACGAACTGAAGCGCCTGGCTTCCAATGCTAGATGTCAAGAAAGCGAAAAAGATCGCTAAAGTGTTGGCGTTGCCCCAGACAAACCCAACCACTTCGATTAGCTGAGATTGGACCAAGTGCACAATGGCCGTCCATCTCATGGTAGGATGCTCGCTGGCTTGTCCTTGTGCTTCGCTCTCAATATCTTCGTTCGATCCGATGGATGCTTTCGGTCCAGTTTCTGGTAAGGCGAAAATAGGGATGATCCCGCACACCTCAATCGCTAATCCTAACAACGATGGCATCCACACATCTTTGGACATCAGCCAAGCGCTGAGAGGGGCTGCGAGGATCTGGGAAAGCAACATCGCTGCAGCCATGAGAAGATACGCATTTGCCCTGGGAGTTCGTCGCGTTTCAGCACATTGAACAGCAGGAAGTCGGGAATATCATGATTACCTTTGGTCAACTGGGAAGACGTCTGCAATGACGGTCCAGGCAACGGAGCTAGCGATTTGGCTACCACCCCCAAATACCTGGAACAGTGGTGCAAACCACACTGCTTCAAGTGGGATGCTTGTATGATTCCAGCCTGAGAAGCACGTCAGCCAGTACTTCCTTTCCTCTGACTTCCAAATCACCCACAGATGAAACGAATAGCGCATTCCTGCATGAGGAAACCCGCAAGGCTGATGATGATGACAGGTTTGCGTCCGACCTGATCTGCCATGAGACCGAATGGGATAGCTAGGATCATTCCGGGAAGCTGAGTGAAGGTATCCTGCCATCCTACCAGCAGAGCGAGCTTGCCTTGCACGTCAGTTGACTTGCAGAGCGGTTGGGTGGTTGCTGTCAGTCCACCGAAAGCGCTGGCGAATAATTCGGGGTGCATGCGCTGGCAGATAATGTTCTCATATATCTGCAGCTGCGGCGCGACAGCAAGATAAACGCCAAAGTCCAGAGTAACGATGATGAGGCACACAAATAGGAGAATCCATTTCGATCTTCTGGGCGTGGTTTTATTTTGAAATGACTGCTCACGAGGGCCTGGCAAGAGTGAACTCGTCTCCAGTGCCTCATCTGCGCCGAGTAGATTGGTTGTCATCTTGAAAGAGAAGATGGACAGCCCCAACTGATTCGGGAAACACAGACAATTGAGCACACACACTCCGAAGCACCCTCAGGCAGGAGAGGAGTAAGAGTGGGTTGGGCGAGAGGAGATCACTTCATCTCACTCAGCAAAATCAGAGAGGTGCGATTGCGAGCTATTTAGCTGCATGGCAAAGCAGTACGCTAGGCTGGATGCGTGTCTGCTTTGATATAGGTCGAGTGTCTTATCTGCTTATCGGGTTCCAGAAAAGTCGACAGCGACAATAGACCGGCCTCCGAGAATGATGGATTGATTACACGCATTTGACATTGTGGATGAGGGGTGCGAGCTTATAGGCTCATGGATCTGACACCGACGCGCTACGCTAAGACCCAGCCCAATCCCGCTGGTCGAACCGCATAGTACCTTGGATTAATACGTGGTTGCCTGTTGTTTCAACACATTATCATTGAGTTCTCGAGATTTCCCCTATCATGCTAGGGTGATCATGGACAAAGGAAAGCATTAAATTAATCATGGTACAAAATATGCACGGTGGATATCATGCTCGTCGGATACTCGTCGACGACAAAACAAACCCTAAGACAACACATTGGCAGCGACAATATTGTAACAACAACAGCATGAAAGACAAATGGGTATGTATACTTTCGCCTCAATCATACAAATGCGATATCACTTCTCACACTTCCCGTCAGCTCTCTTTGCATACCTCTCTGCTCACTCCAGTCTCTGTCCGCCGATCGAATCAAGCTCACTCGGCGCGATCGAACCTCGTATGGCATGGAAGAATAAGAGGGGCTCTTGCGCAATGGTGGCAACGGCGGAGGATCCGTTCTAGGGGCTTCACCCGGCGCGTTTGACGCGACCTGGAACCAAGTCCGATTGTTCCCAAGGGATTGACGCTCATTGTTCTGTGGGTCAGTTGGACCGGGGTACGCCGCACTACCGCCGGCTTCGCCTCGCTGGGCACTGCTTAAGCTTAACTCGCTGTAAAAGCGGGGTAGCGGAGCAATCGCCTCAGAATAATTCTGGGCGAGACTCGATTGACTGGGCTGCTTGTTGATCGGTCCCGACATCGGCGCGTCCGACGATTCCTCTGATAGCGAATGGAGGTAAGCCGACTGGCGGTGGTCATCAGTATAGATGGAGGCTGACATCGCCGCCGACCAGGGGCGGTCCTGCCGGTAATCATCGATATAATGGGAACTAGCGACTGTATCTGCTCGACTCACGGTGCTGCGCGCCCGATGGAGAGCGCGGCCACCGGATGAGCCACGACGAGCGAATTGACCGGCAAACAGAGGATTGGAAGAATTTCGGCTTTTTGCACGACTGTGCACGAAAGCTTCAAGGGAATCCGTATCAGAGATGGTCAGCGTGTCCGGCTCGACAGCTCGAAGGCTCACGCGCTTAGGATATTCCGTGCTTTCCCGTGCGCGGAGGGGCGGGCGAGGGAATAATGGCGCCAAATTCCCCACATCGCTCTCGTCGCTCTGGAATGAGGCTTGTGTGTTCTGCCAGGAGACACGAACAACCCCATGCCCCGGCGGCCCAAATCCACCGGCCCCATGGCCAGCGCCGCTGAGCCTGACAGGCAGCCCTGAAGCAACTGTGGAGATGCCGCTAGAGCGCTTCGAGTACCTCTTCGACCGCGATACCGTCGAGTTCCGCTTGAGTGACCTCCTCGGCTGAATCGGCCGAAGTGGCTCACGCTTCTTTGATGTAGTCGTGGTGCGCCTGCGCACGGGAGGACTGCTCTGGAATGACAAGCGCTTTGATTGCGGAGGTGGATCCGCTACTGGTTTCGTCTCTTCCGGCTCCTTCGTGGTCGCCAGTGGACCGAAGTCCCAGTCGAGGGTTGAGTGGGGGTAGACGTTCTCCTTGTCATCTGTGTAGTTGATGGTGTCGGCATCGGCCAAGGGCTTCGTGTGCCAGAAGATCTCGAGCTTTGGGGGTCTGGATGATGGCGACGGGCTTCTGAGCATCCTTGGCGGCTTGCCTGGGGTGGTCTGTTCAAAAGGCTGGCAGTGAGGGTACATGTCAGAATCGGGATCAGGGGGCAGAGATCCCCTCTTTTCGTCTGCCAGTCCTTCCTCCGGTCCTGGAGCGACATCTTTCTTCTTGTGACGCCAACAGAAGAATAGAAGTACAAGGGCGCTGAGAACAATTAGCGGAATAATGACCGAGATCGCAATGATGCCGGCCTTTTTGCCGCTGTTGTCGCTACTACCGCTGCCTTCGTCCGCCGTGGCGGTAGTAGCTGCGTTCTCGTCGTTCTTTTTCTTCGAGACTGTCTTGATTGTGAATTGCCGGGTATCCTCCGCAGTCTCCTCGCGAGCCGTCAGGTTGAGGTTGAAAGTTCCCGGGGTGATATCGGAAGGCACCTGTCCATAAATGGTCTTGTTGTCGCGGTTGTAATGAAGCCAGGGGAGCTGATCACCTAGTTCAACGTCCAATTGGACAGAGTCGTCGGTAAGAGTAGAGCTGTTGAAGACGAACATGAAGAATTGCCCGATGACAGCGTCGCATTCGTCCAAATCATCGTGAAAGAATTGAGAAAATTGCAAGCTGACAAGTAGTGTGGCCACGTCCTGAGATTTATCAGTTACAGTGATGGTCACATTCTGGTCTACAGCGTCTGCTGGAGGTGTGCCGCTTAAAGAGAGCGATTCCTTGTCCAATGCCAACCATGCTGGAGAATCCACATGAATATTTGCCAAATCAGTGCGCGTCGCTCCGTGACCATCCAGAGTCAAATCATCCAGGAAGTTAGGACTGTCGAATTGTTTCCCTTTGGTGACAAAGAGGGTCTGTGCACTTCGGTTGAAGGACAAAATGTGTGGGCTAACAGTCATCGCAAATGTCATGGTGGCAGCGCTAAATCCGGCTACATCCGAAGCGATCAGGTTAAAGCTGAATGTCTGAGGTCCGATATCCGGAGTAGACCCCGAGAATCGCAGGGCTGCCTGGTCGAATGAGACCCACGATGGCAGCGGCGCATTGTCAGGGGAAGTGCCGTAGTAGACAGTGGAGGGACGCGTGTTGGCGAAGGTATCACGATCGAAGGATATGGAAAAAGAATCGCCAGAGTGTACCACAATCGTGTCTGGAGCCGATGTGGCGCCCATCGTTTCAAGTTGTGGTAGCAATGGTTTCCCCAACTTTGGCCCATCATCGGTTGTGACTACCAAGTTGACCTCCATGTTCACGGATCCCGTCTCATCAGAAGCTACCAACTCAAACTTGGGCGACCCGATGTCATCTTTCTGGGGCGTTCCGGATATCGTACGGTGCTTTGCATCTAGTTCAAGCCATGATGGGGCGTTCAGAAGCGTATATTGAGTGTCGGGCCCGCTGCCAGCAAACGTGCCTTGGGAGAAGACAAATTCGAATGGTTCTGAGACTCGGGCTACTGGAGGCAGCTGTGCGTTCACAGGGTAAGTCGGCGCGAGGCCTGCAATTACCGTCCCCAGGATGCTGAGGAGACCCAACGCGATGAGCGCCATCTCTCCAGAGCAGTGAGAACGGTCGGGATGAGTGAGTGTCTTCAGTCAGATACACGAGAGGCAACTCGCACTGTCGCTCTGAAAAGTCACCCGACGCCAACCTTAGGAAGAAGCCACAGTGAAATGGTCGAGAGTTGAGGGTTGGAAGTGAGAAACGAGGACTTGCTCTGCCCTTAGGGCAGAGACTCTAGTTTTTTCCATCATGGCATCCGCGCCCAAGGGCCCAACGGGCACAGGAGAGGCGCGAAGCTTGCATCCCCTTCGAAAAGAGCCATGCCTGGATATGCTTGACGTCACTTGGGCATGGGAATGGTCAGAGATTGATGGTTCGCGGCGCGATAATTCTCACTCTGTGAAATGTAGGCTTTGCTCCCTCTGCAAGGGATGGCGTCGTCGGGAAGCCAAGGAGCGAGCCACCCTCCAACCACCGCCTGAACCGTCAACACCCTGACTCGGAGAATTGCAGCTATTTGACAGATGGCCTGAAGGAATCAATTGGCGCTTGTGCCTTTTGGTCTCGTCGCGAGTAAACAACCTTATCCAGGGGACCTACTCATGTACAAGCGATGCCACAGGAGTGACAGGGGTAGCAGCAACAAGTCAAGGTCTCAAGGGCTACTTGACTAGAAATCCAGGACCATTCTAACGCCAGTCCGGCCTGGTCCATAGTAATCTGGGATTTCCTCGCGCTCTGCATAATCACTGCGGGCGTACAAAGCTCTAGCTGGGGCTCTGTCCTTGTCCACCCATAACTGGATATACTGACAACCCTCCCTTTGCAGACGAGTGCGAACGTAGCCCATCAGCTGGAGCCCTACGCCCCGACGGCGATAAGTCTCGGCTACACAGACTTTATGGAGCAGGGCAATGCCTTTCTGGCGGACGTAGACCGCATAAGCCAGAACCAGCGGGGGATTTGCGCCTGGGAGGTGGGCATACAGGACCCTCGTGTTGGGCTTCTTGCGCCAAAGCTCCTCTCCAAAGGTCATGCCCTCATTGGCAGGGAAACTCTTTTTCTCGACACGTGCGATCTGGGCAAGAATGTCCATGGCTTGGATCCTGTTCAGGGAGTGGATGTCTGAGAAGATCAGATCGGTCGACATTCTTGGAAAATTTTGAGAGCATGAGTACATTCAGGGCTGGGTTTGAAACGATCCCGAAAGTGACAGGGCAAGCCAGCCGCGGGAGGGCTGACAATGAAGGATTTAAAGGGACCGCAGGGCAAGGGTTTTAAGGGTAGGAGGATGTCCTCAAGAATGAGAGCCGAAGGGAGGGAGGGGTATCGTGAAGAGCTTGTAGTTCGTCTGTCACTCTCCTCAGGCGCGTTTCCGATTTGACTCTATCCTTAGCATGTAGTTGTAGGGTAGCCTGACAAAAACATACTGAGTAATGTTGACATGCAGAGCCTGAGGGTGTGGTAATTTACTGTCTAAATCGGGCAACCCATTGGTTCCAGGTTTACCATACGGTACCGCAACATTCTTCTCATGCGGATCTTGAGCTCCAACGATCCCTTCCTTTTCTCCAGGTACAGTACATGATAGAGTATCAAACATTCTCTATCGCGTTTCACTTATCTCTCTCTCTCTCTCTCTCTCTCTCTCTCTCCTTGCCATCCCCTCCCATTTTCGATTCTATACAACCCCAACGCGCAGCATAACAACCAACTACCCCCACCCCCACAACAACAAAAGAAACCATGCCCCCCACCCAAGCCGACGACAAACGCCAAGCAGCCCGCGAAGTCATTGACATTCTTCATGAGATTTCCACCCTCCTAGTAAGCAAACCAGCCAACCCAGCCCAGCCCTCCCCCTCCCTGCCTTGCCATTCTTGTGTATGGCCCACCAGACCAGAACCTTCATGTCCCCCCACCCATCATGAAATCCCCTGGTAACCCCACACCACCGCCGAGCTTGCAACCTGCCTGCGCGGCTGGGGTTGGTGATACGCGTCGGTTCCGGGCGTATACTCCGCCTTATTCTGATGTCGACATCCATACTCTCCTCTCCGTCGTCATGCCTCAATGGCCGGGATCGATTGGAACTAATCATACTATGTCATGGACAGAACACCCATCTGGACCGCACGGAGCTCTCGCTTTGTGTCTCGCTTATTGAGAATGGGGTCAATCCGGAGGCTTTGGCGGTTGGTTTCTTTCCTGAATTTTTTCCTTGGATTTTCTTGGTGTGGGGGGGGGGGGGCTTATGGGAAGGACGTTGTTCTGTCTGGATGCTGACTTGGTGGTCTTAGGCTGTGATTAAGGATCTGAGGAAGGAGGCTGGGTCTGGGGGTAGGGGGTTTGGTGAGCAGCAGCAGCAGTATGAGTGAGTGAGTGAGTGAGTGGGGTGTTGGGGGAGGTGCTGGGGGTTGCGTCTGGGTGAGATTCACCGTCGGTTTATGCTTGCATGTTTGGATTTTGATTTAAAGATACCCGTGATTTATTCTATTCATGTACTGAGATTTGAGGTGATGCATTGATTTTGTTTTTGCATGGGGGTTGAGGTTATACGTTGCTTGTTTACGAGAGTGGGTATCTGGGGCTTTTGCCGAGAGCCGGACAGTTCGAACTCGTTTTAACTGATTCATTCAAATGCAGTCTCTTGGTATCATGGGTTCGGGCCGCAAGGGCAAACAACACGATTTGTGTAGAACAGATCAAGGCTACAACAACTGGATAGGCAGGCCACTGAATAAGCCGTGGAGGTAAGCTAGCGGATGGAAGAAGGCCCCGGCCAAAACTATGACTTTCCAGCGCCGGTTGTGCTCTCCTTGGACGCTGCTTCCGCTACCGTCTCGACCGTCGCAGCTTTGGAAGCGACCTCGGCGGTGGCGGGTTCCTTCGCCTTTGTGGTGGTGTCCTTCTCATCTTCGCTATCCCCCAGACTGAACGGGTCGTGTTCTCCTACCGGAGACGGTTCCACGGCGGCTAAGGGTTGCCATTTGCTGGACTTGCCTGTCGTCGCGGGCGAGGCGCGCCGGACCGGCTCGGATGCATCGTACAGTGAATCAATCTCCGTTGGGGGCCCGTCCTGGAAGGCAACCTTGCGTCTGTCGGGGGATGGTGACGAGGTCTTGTACAAGTTAGGGTTTGCAAGAGGGCGGGGAGGACGCGCGGGAGGAGCTGCGCGAAATTCGTCAGTGACGCTTCATCGTCATGAAGTCATTCAATCCACTTACCCTCGGAATCCCTCAATTCCAGCGCTGAGAAGTCGTCGCTCAGGACTCGGTGGTCGGCGTCGTACCGCTCACGGTCCCCGCTCCGACGACCCGTGTCGCCGCTGCGACGCGGACGGCCGAAGGTATCGTCGCGCGGGCCCTGAGCAGCCTGAATGCTGGTGTCTTCCTCCGGCTCTTCTCCATCCAGCCTCTTCTTGAGATTCGTCACCCACGAGTTCACCTTGGACTGGGTTTCCAGGAATCCTTTGCGGATGTTCTCGCGGATGACGGGCAGGTCGTCTGCGGTAGTCACACGGGTCAGCAAGCTCGGACGTGCACATCAGGGCTGAATGGAAACCAACCATCGAAGAAGCTGTATTCTTTCTCCTCCTCTTCCTCGCTTCCTCGTCGCCGCTGGTACGCGCGATCGTCCTCATACCGAGGCTGCGGGGCCGCGCGGCGGTTGTAGTGTTCGGCAAGCTGGCGGGCATACATCTCATCCTGCTCGAGCTGTCTCTGGGCAGCCGACGGACGGGGAGGCTTCGGAGGGGGCACGTCTTGTTCGGCGGCATTGGGATCGGTCATGCCTGGGGAGTAGGCAAGAGGTTAGTCGGGACGAAGAGGCAGCATTTGTGGCTGGGGACTACAGACCTAATAGAGCATGAAAGGCCCGCTCCACATCCCAGTTGCTTGCAGTCAGCACTGCTCTTACAACTCCGATGTCGATCGTGGGGAATGCTTCTTTGAGGGTGTTCTCGGCCTGCTGCCGGGGGCTCACGGGGCGGGGTGGCTTTGGCGGGGCAGCTTCCGCGGCGGGCGGCTGAGCTGGGGAAGCGGAGGGGGGAGCTGAGGTGACGCCGGTCTCCTGGGCTTCATCGTCGAAGTCCAGAGGACGCGCCGTGGTGGGCGACTCTGGTTTCGGGCTGGCTGGCACTGCAGAGAGTCTGTTGGCCGTCTGGGGTTACACTGAAGTTAGTAGTCGCAGTTGAATCGGGGGCAGCGGGATCTAGAACATACGTTCTTGTCTTCTTCCGACATGATGAACTGGATGGGGTTGGGGAATGTGAAGGAGGTGTAGGTAGGATATGTATGTAGAGGGTAGATATTTAGGCACACAGCCCGAGACTGAAGTTGGGGATCCTGGGGTATTATTTGATTGCGTGGAGGAGGGAATTCGCCCAACAGGCAGAAAGTATACCAATGATTGCTTGACTCTCTCCGCCCGCCCCCTTTCCTCTTTCCGATCCGATTGTCCCTGGTGACGTTGCATCACGTGCCGAGTGTGCCTAGCTGACATAATCCGCCAGTGCCTTTCCATCCCCGATTGAGCATAACTTACATACTTAAGTTGGGTTGATATTCTTGATATCGTTCGCATTGGTCGTCTTGAATGGAGCTCGAGAGGTAGTGACCTCCGAAGACCCTCCAGCTGAAACTTCTATATCCCCGGTCTCGTTCAATATGTCTCACTTGGGCCAGTCACTTATCATCGGATCTTATTGTGGCTAAAATCTGGGACTTTCAGCTAGTCAGGTTAGACTAGGCTGATCATTGATTGATTCCAGAAGTATTCTTCAGCATGGCTTCGGAACTGGAACTCGGCTCCTCTTTCATACCCGCCTTGTATAAGCCGGCCTCGCTGCTTCCCATTGCGAGACATAAGCAAAGTCTACTCTATTTGGTCGAAACTTATCCCGTCACCATTGTCGTGGGACAGACTGGAAGCGGAAAGACGACCCAATTACCCCAATACCTCGAGCAAGCAGGATGGTGTGCAGAGGGAAAAGCGATTGCTATCACGCAGGTAATGTCACTTCCGCCTTGTTGTTCGGCCGTTGACCAGCCAAGCTAACAAAGTTGCAGCCGCGTCGGGTGGCTGCCACAACTGTGGCCGCTAGAGTTGCCGAAGAAATGCGATGCAAGCTAGGCGAGGAGGTGGGCTACTCAATCCGCTTTGAGGACCTGACGTCTGCTTCCACGAGGATCAAGTTCCTAACCGACGGGATGCTACTTAGGGAGGCACTCGTTGATCCCCTGCTGTCGCGGTATTCGGTGATCATGGTCGACGAAGCCCATGAGCGGTCCCTCAGCACTGATGTGCTTTTGGGCATTCTGAAGAAGATCATGAAGAAACGTCCGGAGCTAAGGATTGTCGTCAGTAGTGCAACTCTGCAGGCCGAAGACTTTCTACGCTTCTTTGCTGGGGAAGAGTTCGACGGCGATGCAGAATCGGGCGAGATCGGTGGGAAGGTTGGCAGGATCATTAGTCTAGAGGGTCGCATGTATCCGGTGGATATGCTATTCCTTGAGTCACCTGCAGAGGACTACGTCGAGCGGTCCGTCAAGACAGTCTTTGATATACACCTGCAAGAAGCAGAGGGGGACATCCTTGTGTTCTTGACCGGGCGAGAGGAGATTGACACAGCTATACAATTGATTTCAGAACGCGCTGCCACGCTTCATCCCAAAGCGCAATCGTTGCTCCCTCTCCCGCTGTACGCCGGCCTCACGACAGATCAGCAAATGTACGTGTTTGAGCCAGCGCCTGAAAACACGCGCAAGGTCATTGTGTCCACCAACATCGCCGAAGCATCCGTTACTATCAATGGGATTGTGTATGTGGTGGATTGTGGTGTCGCCAAATTGAGAGCTTACAACCCGACCACGGGCATCGAAACATTGACAGCGGTCCCGATTTCCAAAGCAGCGGCAGTCCAGCGTGCAGGTCGAGCTGGGCGCACCAAGCCAGGGAAGTGCTTCCGTCTCTACACCCAGCAGGCATATGAAGCCCTTCCAGAGGCGACTGTCCCGGAGATCCAGCGATCCAACCTGGCGCCGGTGATCATGCAGCTGAAAGCTCTTGGAATTGACAACATCGTCCGTTTTGACTTTCTAACATCTCCCCCCGCCGAATTGGTGATCCGTGCTTTTGAGCTCCTGTATTCTCTGGGCGCAGTCGACGACCATGCCAAACTCACCAAACCGCAGGGGATGCGCATGGCAGAGTTGGCCGTGGACCCCATGATGGCAAAGGTGCTCCTTTCCGCGCCGGGATTTGGCTGCCTAAGCGAGATTCTTTCAATCGCGGCAATGGTCAGTCTTCAGGGCACCGTCTGGGTCCAACACGACGGTGATCGGAAAACATCCGAGAGCATGCGGAGGAAATTCGCAGTTGAGGAAGGCGATCATTTGACGTATCTCAATGTCTACCAAGCCTTTGTCACCAAGGGCAAGAAGGACTCGAAGTGGTGTCGGGATAATCTCTTGAACTTTCGATCTATGCAACGCGCCGTGAGTATTCGCGCCCAGCTGAAGCGATACCTGGAACGTTTTGGGATCCAGGTCGATGAGACGCTTTCTGCCCGCGCCAGACAGGAAGATCCAAGCAAGCTGCCGGAAAAGATACAACGATGTCTCACAACAGGCTATTTCGCACATGCTGCAAAGATGCAGCCGGATGGCACGTTCAAGACGGTGAGCGGCGGGTTAACGCTGCATGCTCATCCGAGCTCGCTGATGTTTGTGAGTCATACACACTTGCCACTGGATTAGGAGTATTTTCGCTAACTGGTTATGCAGAATCGCAAAGCCGAATGGGTCATATTCCATGAAATACTACAGACGGGAGAAAAGACCTACATCCGCGATATAACCAAGATCGAAAAGGGCTATTTGCTTGAGTATGCACCGAACTATTATCAAGTGCGGTAATAGATTCTCTTGCAGGGATTCCTTGTCAAAGCAATTTTTGTACAATAGATGATCCTTGGTAGTCTATATTTCTATGATGATATCCCATTATGCATGAAGTGAAATCTTGTCACTTGGGTGTAGGCAACCTTCCGACCTTTGTCAAGCCATAACAAGTAAGCGTAGGATCATTTAGTATGGCAGATTCATTGCTCACAATTTGACATCTATGTTTAAGAGCTAATATAAAAGTCAAGTGAAGAAATAAATGATAAGTGTCTTGCTGGTTTAAACGAGAGTGAATTGTTGAGCTGATGTGAATGAATGGGTGACTTAGCCGAACAATCAAAGGTCGCGTTGAACTTGCTGAACATCTTGCTTGTTTTCAGATTCATCGTGCTTACCCAAGGTTCTCGGACGACCGCCTCTTACTCCAACTAGCTTTTCAGCCGATCTTGACTCGACCTTTCTTTATCTGAAGCGACCACCAGGAGATTCAAGCGTCAAATTGCGACATGTCGGGCCATCACCATCATCACGGCCACGGCGGCGGACATTGCCATGACGAAGACGGCCACGACCACTCCAATGACATCACCCCAGCCATTCAATCGCTTCTTTACTCTCAGGTTCAGTTCGACTCTATCACAACACTCAACGGTGCGTATTATACCTGCGCTTGCAGCGATCGATTACTCTCAAAAGAGATTGAATACCAACAAACAAGGCAGAGGCGACGCCCAAGTCCGGCGCTGCGATCGTTAAGAAAACATGGGCGGAGAGACTCAACGACGAGCCGGAGCTCGAAAGCGATGCCGATGAGCAGCTCCTGATGTACATTCCGTAAGTTCTGCCTTGGAGGGTGTGTTCGCAGCCGGGGGAAAGACTGCCTTGCTTGTTGCTGTTGCTACCCCGCCATGGCCATTGCCCCTCCTCGAGTCCTGGTGTCGCGAACGAGCGCAGACCACTTCAGCACGCTTCGATCCCAGCGGTTGCCATCACTTTTGACAATCAACTAATCCTGCCCGTGACCTGTTGCAGCTTTACCGGCCAAGTCAAAGTCCACTCTCTGCTGGTCTACACCGCGCCCACTCCCTCCGCCCCCAAGACGCTGAAACTGTTCAAGAACCGGGACGACATCGACTTCGCAACCGCGTCCGAGCTGTCGCCCACCCAGACGATCGAGATTCCCCAGCCGGTTGCCGGCGCCGATGTCTTTGAGATCCCCCTGAACCGCGCGCATTGGAATGCCACCACCTCCATCACGCTGTTCTTCGAGGATAACTGGAGCGATGGCGAGGAAGACGTGACCAAGGTCGGCTACGTGGGATTCAAGGGGACTTTCATGGCGCTGAATCGCGAGCCCGTTAACTTCCTGTACGAGGCCGCGGCCAATCCGAACGACCATGTCGCTATTCAGGGCGTCAGTGGTGTGGGCAGTCGAATCCTGTGAGGATGGTGATTTGCGAAGTTTGTGGCGCGGATGGATTGACTTGTTGTCCAGTCCGGTTGCCGTTGCTGTTTCTGTTGCCTGTGCCTGTTGATGCGGTGCAGTGGTGCTGTGTTGATTTGTGATCGTGCTTTCTCTGGTTATGGAGCTGGACTCTATCCCCAATGCTAGTCTGAATTTCAGCTTATGCATGTTTGTAACATTGAACTAACTGGAGCTATCTAATGATATGATGGAATATGATGATGACCCATTGGCAAGAACCTAGAACTCCAGAAATGCTGAAACTTATATAGATAAAAGGATGAGGGATTTCATGCCAGGACAGCGGTTCGCTCTTCGGCCTTGACCTTTCGTCCATTGGATGATGGCTCGGTCTGCGGTTCTCCCGTCTCTGTGGCCTCCTCCTCTCCAGCCTCTGGAAATGACGAGACCGGCGCACTCGGCAATACCACTGGCCCTTGTGCCTGACGCTGCAACTCCTCCAACTCCTCTTCGACCTCGTCTTCGTCCTCCCTGGACAGACGACCGGCAAGCATCTGACTGATCTCCTGTACCACCCCGCAAAAGTCGACAACATTAGCATGTCACCCTAAAAAAAAGCCTCTCAACCATAGAACACCCAAGCTGAAACTGGACTTACCTCCTGATAAGCCCGCGCCTCCTCGGTCTCGCCCATCAGCTTCTCGACCCCCTCGATGCCGCCCATCTCCCGGTTGATGGTCTGCAGCACCTGTGTGCCCTGCTGCAGGCCGAAGAGCACGTCCTTCTGCACGAGCGCGAACTCAATCTGGCCCGTGAGCTGCTCCAGCTGCTCCAGCTGCTTGTCGGTCTTCTCCAGCAGCGACTCCTGGTACTTCTTGCGGCGCAGGGCGAGCAGGGCGCGCTTGCGGTCGTCCCGCGCCAGGCACTCCTTGGCGATCGCCGTCTCCCGGTCCGTCAGCACGGTGATCCGCTTCTGGTACTGGCGGAGCTTGTCGCGCTGGTTCTTGAGGTCGAGGATCGCTCTGTTGTACAGTACACAAGGTAGTTAGCTTATCTATCGCGGTGCGCGCAGAGGTGATAGTCCGGTTGGAGGGCGTCGTGGAAGACAGAAGGGGGATCTTACCGATCCTGAGCAGAGATCTTGTGGGAGCTGTTTGCATTCCCCATTGTCAACGCATAGTGTCGTTCTGTGGAACAGTCACTCCGGAGACTAGTTAATTACTATGGAGGTACCGTAGAGTCAGGCGGGCGATAACAGATGACGTCCACTGATATCCGGTTTGGGTATGGTCAAGGGGGGGAGGGCGGTCAGACCGTTGCTCCAATTGAAGTGAGGTAATGTCGGTAATGCAGTTACCGATCTGTAATTTTTGCTCATCTTCTCCGCCGGCCAAATTGATTCTCCGATCTCCAAAAATTGTAGAAGATCCCCCCCCAACTGGGCAGCGATTGAAGCGTTTATCAGATCGGCTGGTTTTCTCGTGCATTGGCGCGCTTCGTTTCAAAAATCGTTAGACGCACGAGAGAAAACGCTCTTTCTCGACTTGGGACACAATGGGTCGCGGGGGCAGGCCAAGCCTGAGACAGGGCTTGGATAAAGATGTAAGCCAAATGCAAACCTCCTCCTCTATCGCGCAAAATAGCGATGTATACTACCAAATGCTAATGTGCGCTTTTGCTGGCTGGTAGGTCTATCAGATTGTGCGCAAAATCATGGACGAGCAGGCGGAGAATGGAGCTACGCGGATTTCTGTTACGACGATATACGACACGATCAAGCGATCGAACTCGAGTCTAAATCGCAAACCTAAGAGGATTCTCGAGGATAGCATCGAGCGTGTGGTGGCGGTGATTCAAGGCGATGAGGAGGAGGAGGATTCCGTTGAAGGGGACTTTGAAGGGCTGGAGGAGCCGGCAGCGCCGGTGAGTCACATGCGCGGAGGACGATATGGTCTGCTTTCCTTCCCAGAGGTATTGACGAGTGGGTGTAGGAGTCCAACAGTTTGAACAAGAGCCTCGTCGGCATGTGGAATACCAAGAACGGCGTAACGGACGCCCAGAAATCCGGCGAGACGAACAATACGACAGACAACACGGCCACCACGCCGGCTCCTAAATCGTCAACGAAAAAGCGACACCATGGCGGCGAATCTACCTCCTCCAAACGCCGCAAGGGCGACACCGCCGTCGACCGCTCCCCGCCCACGCACGTCAGTCTCGCGGACTTGGGGGGGTTGGATGATGTGGTTGAGCAGCTCGGAGACCTGGTCATCCTGCCCATGACCCGCCCACAAGTCTACATGTCCTCCAACGTGCAGCCGCCGCGCGGCGTGCTGCTCCACGGTCCCCCCGGTTGCGGTAAGACGATGATCGCCAATGCCTTCGCCGCCGAGCTGGGCGTGCCCTTCATCTCCATCTCCGCGCCCTCCGTCATCTCGGGGATGTCCGGTGAGTCCGAGAAGGCGCTGCGCGAGTACTTCGAGGAAGCCCGGCGCATCGCGCCCTGCCTCATCTTCATCGACGAGATCGACGCCATCACGCCGAAACGCGAGAGCGCGCAGCGCGAGATGGAGAAGCGCATCGTGGCACAGCTCCTCACCTGCATGGACGACCTGGCGCTTGAGAAGACGGACGGCAAGCCGGTCATCGTGCTGGCCGCCACCAACCGGCCCGACAGCCTGGACGCCGCGCTCCGCCGCGGCGGCCGCTTCGACAAGGAGATCAACATGACGGTGCCGTCGGAGCCCGTGCGCGAGCAGATCCTCCGCGCGCTGACCCGCAAGATGCGGCTGGCCGACGACCTCGACCTCAAGCTCCTGGCCAAGCGCACCCCGGGCTTCGTGGGCGCCGATCTCAACGACCTGGTGGCCACTGCCGGCGCTGCCGCCATCAAGCGGTACCTCGAGATCCTGAAACAGAACAGCGGGCCCGAGGACGAGAAGATGATGGACATGGACCTCGAGGACCTCAGCGTGACCGACGACCTCAGCCCCAAGGTCAAAGAGATCCGGCGGTTGATCATCCACGCCAAGGACACGCCCATCGGGGACGAGACGCAGACGGTCCTGGTGTCGAACGCGGACTTCTTCACCGCGCTGCCCAAGATCCAACCCTCGTCCAAACGCGAAGGGTTCGCGACGATCCCGGACACGACGTGGGCGGACATCGGGGCGCTGGGCGGGATCCGCGACGAGCTGTCGACGGCGATCGTGGACCCGATCCGCCACCCGGAGATCTACGCCAACGTGGGCATCACCGCGCCCACGGGGGTGCTGCTCTGGGGACCCCCCGGGTGCGGTAAGACGCTCCTCGCGAAGGCGGTGGCCAACGAGTCGCGGGCCAACTTCATCAGCGTCAAGGGGCCCGAGCTCCTCAACAAGTTCGTGGGCGAGTCCGAGCGCGCGGTGCGCCAGGTGTTCGTGCGCGCGCGCTCCTCGGTCCCCTGCGTCATCTTCTTCGACGAGCTGGACGCCCTCGTCCCGCGCCGCGACGACACCCTCTCCGAGGCCTCCGCCCGCGTCGTCAACACCCTCCTCACCGAGCTCGACGGCCTTGGCTCCAGCCGCCAGGGCATCTACGTGATCGCCGCCACCAACCGGCCCGACATCATCGACCCCGCCATGCTGCGGCCCGGCCGCCTCGAGACGCTGTTGTTTGTCAACCTCCCCAGCCCCCTCGAGCGCGCCGACATCCTGCAGACCCTCGTCCGCAAGCTGCCCATCGAGTTCGACGACAACCTCCGCCGCCTCGCCGAGGAATGCGAGGGCTTCAGCGGTGCCGATCTCGGCAGTCTGCTGCGCCGCGCCGGCTACTCCGCCATCAAGCGGCGCGACACCATCAAGTTCGAGGACTTTGTCGCCGCCAAGGCGTTCATTCGGCCCAGTGTTACCGATCTGAAGAAGTATGAGCGTTTGAGGAGGGATTGGAGCGGTGGTGTTGTCTAGGTCGCGTCGCTATTGCGGAATGGAGGTTACTACTGTACATAGATAGATAGACTGAGAGGTCGGAAGGTGTTTTCTTCCCTGGTAAAGATTTACCGGTTGTGGGTATGGTTCCACTGTTTTATGGTTTTTTGGTAACTTGTAGTAGACCTCCAAGGCGGGTTCGATTGCGTGGTATGCATGGAGGGGAGGGGAGATAAGCTACGTACAGGGGATTGAATTGGTTGGGGCCTCAGGCTGATACTAATTTACGTAGTCTGCTCTACATATGACCACGAGGGTGAAGGAAACTTTTTGAATGGATATCGAAAGAGAGAGAACAACAAAGAAATAATGTATATACACACACCGAGAACGCCCTTCTCATGTAGATATGACGAGAAACTGCAAACAGGAGATGATGATGGATAATAACAACACAGAAAGTATGCGCTGAGCTGAATCGAATCTACTACATCCACAAACGACACGTGCCATCGGCCCCGGCACTGACACACCACGCCTCGCGGGGGTGCCAGTCGATGTCCAGCACGCCCAGCTCGCCGGTGATCTTGTGGCCCTTGAGGACCTTGAGCGGGACGATGCTGGCGTTGCTGAGCATGTCGCCCGTGACGCTGCCATGGAAGATCTGGAGGGAGCCGTCGTCGCTGGCGTCGGCGAACAGCGGATAGCGGCCGCTGGGGTGGAACTTGACGGCGCGGATGGCCTTGCGGTGGTACCGCAGGGTCTTGTAGGGCCGCTGCGAGAGTTCGAGATCGTGCCACAGGAGCCGGCGGTCGTAGGAGCCCACGATGAGGTTGTCGCCGCCGGAGGCCGTGGACGAGGTCGGGTGGATGTCGAAGGAGGAGATCCAGCGGGCTCCCGGCTGGACGATCTTGACCAGCAGCTGGCGCGAGAGATCGTACCCGCGCACGGTGCGCTGGTTGGCGACAAAGAGGATCGGCTTCGACGGGTGGAAGTGCGCCGTCTGCGGCGGGCCGCCGCCCTTGATGCGCCGGCTGAACGGGTATTGGGTGAGGTGCTTGGAGACCGTGTGGATGGCAACGGCCACGGAGGCAGGGGTGGAGGCGCCGGGACACACGGTAACGAAGTAGTCTCCGCGGCGGTGCCAGGAGATGGACTTGGCCACGTAGCGGAGAGGGATGACCGCGCACACGCCGGAGTCGGTGAGGGCCGACGAAGGGCGGATCCACTGCGGGGGTGTCTTCTTGCCTTCCTCGGCGGCGCTAGGAGCAGGCTTCGAGGCGGCGTATCCCCATCCAGCGTCGAGGAGTTCCAGACTGGCCTGCTCGAGCTCGGGGTCGAGAATGGAGGGCACCATGAGGTAGAGGTCGTCGCCCGCCGCGGCAGCCAGAACCACGGCATCCTTGCCGGGTCTCCAGCGGACGACGTTGACGGCATCCTCGTCACTCAGCTGAACGCTCCACAGCTGACGACCGGTGAGCAATTCCCAGACACGAACGGTACCGTCATCGCCAGCAGTCGCCAACCAGACGCCAGTAGGGTCGACCGCAATGGAGCGCACACGGCCCTTGTGTCCTCGGAACACGGTAGCACACATCGACGGGAAAGGTTTGAGTTCCTCGGGGCTGGGGAGCTTGGGGAGAAGACTCTCGGGATCGATGTTGAGCTTGCTGCGCCGAACTCTGGGGGCCAAGTAAAGGTCCAAGCAACGCTCGAATTTCTCCTTGACAAACTCGCCATAACCAGGAACCTTGCGAAGAGAGCCAAAGTCGGTGGGGAGATACTCGCGCTCCCGGTCTTCGGGGTCCGCTTGCTCCCAGGTCTTTCGCTCCTTCTGATCGGGCAGATACTCCGGAGGGGGGTGGTAACTCTCTTCGTAGCCGGGAGGGGGAAGCTTGGGAGCGGGGACATGCATGATATGATCGGGCCGCTCCTCCTCGTCCGCCCACAGGTCATATTTGATGAGATCCTTGTCCTCCTCCTCTTGCTCTGATGGGGGCTTGTAAGGCAGGATACGACCTTCTCTGATGGCTTTGACGAGCTTCATGACACGCTTGGCCTCGTGCTTGGATGGCAGGAAGCGGCGCTTGGGCTCGGGAGCCGCGCTCAGGGGCATGACTTCCTTCTCCGTGGTGAACCATTCCATCAAGGGCTCGTAGGGGTTGTAGCCGTCCTCCGGAATCTCGTTCATCTGCACCTTGCGCAGCAATTCCAGCTCGTCCTGGCTCAACTCCAGAGGCTTGCCCGTCGAAGGATCGGTGAGTCCAGTGAAACCCTTGGGGATCTCGATGCTATCGAGCAGCGCATCCAGCGCCTCTCCGGTAGCGGGACGCATGATCTTCTTTCCATTGATGTCGTAACCGATGTGAGGGTACTGGTCGTAGAAGGACAACGGGATATTGCCGATAGTGTTAGAGTCCTCGTCGATGTCAGAGTAGTCAGAGTTGTCATCCGGGTTGATTTCGTCGTAGACGTAGCGGTCGTTCCCATTGGCATCCTTTTCGATCCGGAAATTCACCTCTGCCTCGTCACCTGAGCTTTCATCGTCCGCGGGAGCTGCAGTCAATTTGGCGGAGTTCTTCTTGACGGCATCTTCACCATCCGAGGGGATCTCATCGCTATCGAGCTCCTCCTCTTCATCATCGTCCTCATCACTGCTGAACTCGTCGACCAATTCAACCTCAGAATCGTCCTCGTCACTAGAAAGATCATTGGCGCTGTCCGAAAGCGCGCCGTTCAAATCTCCAGCCAATTCGTCTCCGGAGAAGGCGCCAGCTTCCTCCTCCACATCTCGAGTGACAGCCTTGCGCTTCTTCGAGCCTGCTGAAGCAACCATGATGACGGTAGAACGCTTTTCAAAATGCGTTCGGTGCTTGAACAACGACAACCGTTCGGGAGACCGACTTGATTCCTCGCCTTGCAACTTTTTTTTTCTGCGCCGGGAAGATTTGCGCTCTCCCACCGCCCACGTGATACACCGCCCGCCCTTATCGTTCCGCCGCTCTGGCAAGTTTATCGATAATAACACAGCAATACAGCAATACAGCAATACAGCAATAATTACCTCGGTGGCTCATCACGGCCAGTCTTGGATGGTCGCTCACCGTGCCGCCTCTTTTGCGCTTGCTTGCTTGCTGACAAGTGCTATAGTCTTTGAAACACGCCAATCCTCTTATCATGACGCAGTTTGAGCCTCAGGCTGAGTGGTTTCAGACCCCACTCGCCCTGTCGGACAGCACTTTCAATGATACTGTGGCGCGGCCGGTGAAGAGACATGCTGCGTGTGATGAGTGCAGTATGCCTGACGCACAAGATCCAGGCTCATCATGTGTAGGCTGACAAAGTTAGGGAAGCGCAAGCTGAAATGCTCCGGTGAACAAACTGGATGCACCCGATGTCTGAAACAAGATCTACTGTGCCACTATTCGGAACAGAAGCAGATGGGACGACCGCCGAAGAAGCGCTTGCGGGAGGAAGAAGATCCTTCGTCGCTTGGTCTTGATAACGGGCTATGGAGCGCAGATGCGGATCTCGGTCATATTCTGTCAACTGATACTGTGGGAATGGGGATCCCACCGAGGGACACTTTACCGTCAGGGATTGCAGCTTATACACCACAGACGACCCCTCCTGATCCCTTGGCAGACGACACCCAGAGCCCACCGAGTCGCATGGATCTTGCAACGCCTCTGAACTGTGTACCGACGACCACCACTCCATGGCCCGACTTCTCCAGTGTCTCTGCGGCGACAGCTAGTCTGACACCGCTCCCGCCGGACGTGTCATATCCATCCCCCGACCCCGCCGATTCGCCCGACCAACAATGTTCATGTCTATCACGTCTCTACCTATGCCTCAGCCACCTGTCCTCCCTCGCCCCCTTCCCGATCTCGCAGCACACCTTCTGCTCATTATACATCGCGGCGCGAACAGCCAGGGAGGTCATCCGCTGTCGAATATGCCCCTTGCGCTTCAGCACGGGGATGCAGAATGTCATGTGTACCGGGACTCTGCTCGCGGTCATTGCCGATTCATGGCTCCGCGTTTACAAGGCGAACCCCGTGGATCTGGGCAAACAGTCGACGTCTCCTGCATACGCCGCGACGGTCGAACAGTCGCTCAATCCGGTAGCCGGCTGGAAAGACTGGCTACGGCAGACTGTCCGAGGCGGGGTCGTCGGCGGGCCCTACGACCCGGCTGGCTCCCCGCAAGTCACGGAGACACCCAGTCTCCTCGCCCTGATTGAGGAGATGGAAGCACGCCAGCGATCGTGGCACCAGTCGCATCCACTACCTGCGGAGGAGCGCCTTCTACCCGTCCAAAACTGTAGTACAGGGGAGAGCGAACTGCTATGCCTACGCGTCATCAAGAGCGCGAGGGAGGTCATCGCCAAATTCGAATTCGAGCCCTCCGATTACCCGCAAGGAACGACGCCTGTGACGAGCGGGATGTAGCTTGTGGTCATCCGCGACAACATGTGTGCATGATATTGAAGCGTAAATTTGTTCTACCGATACCATTATGTTATTTATGCAGACGATAAGATATTCGAATATATAGTTATCTACCGATGCTGGTGCAGTGGCCTGCTATCCTGGTCTAATACCTGGCACCTGTACCTAGTACCTGGGAACTACCTATCTCGACATGACTACTAATATGTGCATCTATCCCAAGACCTAGCTAGTGGCTACACCTTTAGCGAATATGCCTATACTTCTGCAGAACAATACATGGTGCAAGCCAACTTTCTTTTAATGTCCGGTAATGCTAAGTTAGGAAAGGAAAGCAAGAAAGATTCCCAGGCGAATATGACCAGTCATGCGCCGATGAAGTATCCAGAGAGATATGATATAATAGTTACACAAGTCATTAGCATATGAAAGCGAATGTACGGGGTGGCCCGTAAGCAAGATGCAAGAAGACAGCAACATCAGAACGGGGAGTAACTTGAAATCCTTTACTCCTCGTCGTCATCATCCACGATATAACGATTCTTCTTCCGAGTTGGAGGGGTATTCGCACTGGCGTCGGGCGACGGGCGTTTGTGACGGGGTCTGGCAGGCGGGGCATCATCGTCGTCGCCTTCGGCGTCCATGTCTTCGTCCTCGAGGATATCCTCGTCGTCATCATCGTCCACGATCTCGGGCTCCTCGTCGCTGCCGACCAGGAATCCGTCGTCTTCGTCGTACTCGTCCTCGCGGGTGCGTCCGCGGCGGTCGTAGTCCTCCTCGTCATCTGTGTAGATCTCGCCGCGGCGGTTCGGCTTGCGCGCCTTCTTGGCGCGAGGTCTCGTCGTCATCAGACCGTCGTCGTCCTCCAGGCCGCCCACGGTGAGACCGCCGCCTCCGGTACGGTGGCCGAACCCAGCCCGCCGGCCACGGTCCAGCTCCCGGTCCGCGAGCTGCTGGCGCCGGCGCGCCGCCTTGAGCTTCTCGCGCTCGGCCATCTCGGCCTGGCGCTTGGCCAGCTCCGGATCTTCCTTGACTTCGATGACGGGCGCCGAGCCGTCCAGCGTCTTCTTGCCGCTGCGGGCGGCCGCAGCCAGCGACTCCTGGAGACGCTGCACCGCATCATCCGTCTCCATTGTCGTGGGGTACACGGTGAGGCCGTGGGTGAGGTGGGAGGTGAGCCGGAAGACGGAGGAAGCCTCTGCGGCGGCACCCAGGTAGACGTGCGAATCCAGCTTGACATCGTACTCGCCGGCTTTGTTGAGCGGCGCCAGCGGTTTCGTGGAGATGCGGTACTGCTCCTTCGGCGCCGAAGCAAGCTGGAGCGTCATGGACCCATCCTCCCAGCGGATGATGCGCGCATTCGATTGAAGGAGGGATTCGTCCTGGGGGTCATGTCTCCAGCACAGAGAGGTAGCGGCGGTCGTGAAGGGAGGCGCAACATAGGTTTCCGGGTTGAACTCTTCGGTTTCCACCGAGAGGAAAGGGGGGACGGGCATTGTGTAAATCTAGATGGGTAAACAGGCAAGTGAGTCTTCTGCTGATGTGACGTGGTAGAATCATCTTGCATACCTCGCCGTTGGAAGTCAAGGGTTCCGGCGCGCGACTCAGTGTCATATCCATGATGTTCACAGTTTCCTGGAACTGTTCTTCGCCCCCGTCTTCGTAGTCCATGCGCTCTCCAGCGCGGTCGTAACGGTCCACATCATCTCCCGAGTCGAGCTCCTCGTCGTCGAGTGTACGTTGGGGTTGTCTGGTGCTGTGTTAGCGTTTATGTCATGGCCCGGTCAAGCGCGGGCATTCTCGCATACTCATTGTCATCTCCGAAACCTCCATCTGAAGCATCTGAGCCGAACAGATCTGCGTCGTTGTAATTGTTCACATTGCCCGCATCGGAGCCGAGCTCGCTTCCCGACGGGCTTCCCGGTCGATCGGCCGCTGCACCTCGCCCAGGACGACGGACAACATCCTCATCTGAAGAGGACATGTTGGTGTGATGTGTAGTAGTCAAGTGTGTTAAACCAGGCTCCGGGGTCGGCTATCAGTTGCCGCGTGAGAAGAGCACTGGCAAGTCAAAGCTTGTGTATAGCGCAATCTTGCAATTGAGTGGCTTGGAAAACTTTCAATACGGGTCTTTGAAGAGAAAGAAATTCCGATTGGGAGCCTGAGCTGATGTAAAAGAGGAGTCACTCGAGGGACGGAGAATAATGCCGGACTCCGTCAATTGATCATTGATCGTTGTAACTTGTAACTTGTTCCAGCTCGGAGCACTCCCGTTGAATTGAAGCGGAACAACTGGATGATCCCGTCCGAGCCCAAGTAGGCTTAGTGGAGGGCGGCAGCTCGACGGGCCAGACCGAATGAGGACCGAATGAGGGACTCAAACCAACTGAAACAATCGCCCCCCTCCCTCCCAATCACTCACTTCCTCACTCACTCACTCACTCCATTCATCTCTCTTGTCTCTCTCTCTATCTCTTCTCCGTCTGGGTTTCTCCAGTCGTGATTTATTCTTCCTTCTGGATTGCCGTCGCTGCTCTTTCGTCTCTTGTTCCTCTTTCCATCCTTGCCTCTACTCGTCGCCTGCCACTCTAGACTTCGTCATTTCTATCATTTCCCCCGTGTTTTCGAGCATACACCGCTTTCCATCATGGCGACCTTCTTCCAGAGTGTGTAAGTGGTCCCCCTCTTCCCCTAAGAATGTATCCCGCACGGTCACTCTCCCCTGAAATTCCCTCTGCCGCAGCATGGTCAGAGGCATTCGAAATGATTACGCCCCTGGCTTGCTTATCAAGAGGCCACGCCATGCGCTTCCTCTTTTGATTCCATATTCCTCGGGTTTTCTTTTTCTTCCTATTATTCCACTTTAATAGTTGAAGCAGTGGACACTGACCCGCGATTTGATATGGTGTTTAGTCGCCAAGGCTTTGGCAGAGGAGGCAATAACAAAAACAACAACAACAACGCCCCGAAGATGAACAATGGAAGTCCTGCTCCGTCCCCGACGCCTCAGGGCCCTCCCGCCGGCCATGTGCCCAACTCCCCGTCTCTCACTTCGAGCTTCTCGGTCGACACCTCTTCCGCCTACGACCCCGATGCTCCCAAGTACTTTTTCCAGGAGAAATATGCGCCCTTGAATGTGAAGGGCAACTTCTTGACGTTGTGTGCCTGCCCCAAGAACGTGGAGTTGGGCGAATGGCTGGCTCATCAGAGTAAGCGGACCAGCTAGCGCTGTCTCTTTTTCTTGCAGGGTATGATGCTGATCCTATAATGAAATAGTTGTTGAACAATATCGCCTGCTTCACGGTATGCTCCAGGTCATTCAGGAGGTCAACAGCCTCACGGGACTCCCGATCTGCAATGAGAACACTTGCCCCACCATGTCCGCTGGTCGGTAAGTAGAACGCGATTCGTGACAATACCTCCCAGGTCTTATCTGACTGTCATCTCTTTCCAACAGATTGACATACACATGGCTTGTCGATGGCCGTGCAGCTAAGATCTCGGCTCCCAAGTTCATCAACCGCGTGGAGAAATGGATCGTCAGCAAGATCCATGACCCCGTCATGTTCCCCACGGAGAAATTCGCGGGCATGCCGGAGACATTTGCGATCAACGAAGTTGGAGGCGCTAGCGCTACTGCTGGAGAGGAATGGATCGGCAAGTCCAGCGGCTTCCCGCAGACGTTTTACAAGGATTGCCAGGGCATTATGAAGCAGATGTTCCGCTGCTATGCTCATCTCTACCATGCACACTGGTTGAACCCTTTCTGGCACATCAACAAGCACGACATCCTGAACATGTGCTTCGTCCACTTCGTCACCGTGGCGAAATACTACAAGCTGGTATCCGACAAGGAAATGGAGCCTATGCAGCCATTGATCGACCTGTTCATCAAGCAGCAAAGGATCCCGCCGGAGGCCCTTTCCGGGGGTCACTGGGGCCAACAACAGCAGGCCTCTAGCTGAGCTAGAGGAGGCCCCTCCCCTCTCACTTATTTTGACTAGCCTCGCAATTTGTCCGTCTTCTGACCTGGCGTTAGAATTCGCTACTTCCCACTGTAGCACGGCCATGGGATTGTCTTTGGCTGGCCGCTCCATATCCCGGTGTCTTGCGCATTGTTTTGCCAGCCAGGACGCGTAGATGATACCACATACGCACACAACATACACAACACAGTTGGCGTTGAGCATTTAGCATGCGGTGTGAATGTTTATTCCCACTATTACCTTTGCATATTGTCTTTCCTGTCTTGTCGCATCGTCTGGCCACGCAGTTGTTATCATCTTAGCTTAGATCAACAGAAGTGCATCACGATTCGGATGGGTTTATCTGATGGAAATACCTTAGCGTGACGTGGGGAATTAGTTTCGAGCCACGGAGAATGAGAATCATCCAGGATACACATATCGTGAAGAGTCATGTAATCTGGACCGGCGCGTAAGATCGAGCTCTGATAGATGTGTGGAGTCTCAAAGACAAATCAAAGCCCAGGGGCCTCGACGAACCTATCGGCCTGACGAAAATGTTAGCAAATATTGTACCGGAGCATTTTCACGGGCATTTCTCAATGCCAGTGTGCTGTGCTGCTGCATCGGAACGTCTAGGTATGCCTATTCTAGGCGGCGATCCGTTAGAGCTGTTCAGTCGTCGTGAGCAAAAGCGCTGTCACTGTCGATGACATGGTCAATAGTACAGCTGTACTGACCTTCATCGCTTGTTCCAGTCCTCAACTACCCTAGGGCTTCCTCATCACTCCACCTACGGGAGCAAATCCGGAAGCTCCGTGCTAAGCGCACAGTCCATCGACCACGCTACTTTTGCAAGATGGAGGCGAGGCGATGTCGGGCGTTGCGACGACAAGCAAAACGTAAAACCTCACCTTCCGATACAATGAGCTCGCACCGGACAGACACACGACGAGATCTATGGGCCACGCAACCACATCCTCGCCAGTGAGAACTGGAACTTCCTGACTAGGACCGACCAACTTCTCCCTGGCCAGGTGGGTAGATGGAGGTTCAGCTTGGCTAGAAGGCACATGAGAGAACCCGGAGACTTCTCTCTCCCAGGTCCTTATCAGGTTGACAGGCATAGCCATATGTGACGGACACTGTCTTCCATGGTGAGAGGGGTCTCATTTGGTAGTATATAGGAACACAGAGAGAGGGATGGCTGTTATATGGGCAAAAACAGCTACATTTGTCTCATAAACTACCCCTTGGGGTGGCTTTATAGAGAGAAAGGAAATGGAAACTAGTGGTGTAAGGGCAATTTCTGAGCTGTTTGTACTGTTGCTATGTAACAGTGGAGATCACAGCTGAGCCAACTGCAACACTACCAGCATTCACTACCCTCCTGTGCTCGAGTTCCCCAAATAACCATGGTGTCGTCCCTGTGTTTCTTTCATCTTGCGGCTAGACATGCGGCAGAGGGAGGCCGCATGGATCTCGTTCTGAAAACACGGTTGGGGATATTGCAGCGCAGGATCGCTGAACCAGAGAACTACACGCGGGTCTATCGCCTTCCGATCACTCTATACAGAGATTAGATAGCAGGCAGAAATGAAAATCCTCACAAACTGACTATCGTAGATGATCCTTTACCTTGTAGTTGATGATTAGCTTGAAATTAAACTTTCATGTCCTCCTTGATACCTTTGTTAGTACTCGCATCTCAGTTAGAGATGTGAGTGAATCTTTACCGACGTCTTGGAGAAGATCCACATCCTCTCACTTCTCCTGATGCAGTGTGAGAGACTCTCACTTCGTGACTACTCTTAACATCTCTCTCTTCTTCCCCCTCCTTTACCTCTCCATCCTCAACACGCCTCCAAGCCTCATCCCCCTTGTCCTCGGCGCGGTCCACCAAGGCTCTTGTATTCAGTGTGCTTCACAAGCGTCCCTTGTCTCTCTTCTCTTCCCGTCAGCTCATCGAGGCCTTTGAAGCATCTCGCAACAGTGAAACTCGTAAGTGTTGTTCTTATCGGGCCACGCCATGGGCGTTTGTTTCCTGTGTTTCCCTTCTATCATAGAGGTCAGTGCTGACCAGCCGCGATAGCAGTCGATGGCTGATATTCCGGTGACCTCTCGACTGAGAGAGGACAGGTCGCCAATCTTCACGATGAAGCATTGGCAGATGGCTAGAAGGAAGTCATGGTCTGAAGAAGACACGTCCCCTGAGGACTCACCGAAGACGCCCTTGAGCCCCGATGGTGAAGGCTTCAAAGTGACCCTGGTGAACCTGTCAGAAGAAAGCATCTCAAACGTCCCAGAGACAGAAGAACTCATTGAACGCCTTGATACTGAGTCTGAGGGGTCTGAAGAGTCTGTCGCGTCTGATCTGGAAGAGAGACCTGTTCCCGGCCTCGTGCTTCGCCCCGGTTGGAACATCCTTGACTACCACCTCTATCTCCTCAGCAACGAGCGTGACCGAGACGAGCACGTCCGTAAGAACAGTATGTACATTTTCGATGGGACCGAATGTACCATACGTTCCTATGAAGAACTCTTCGATCACGAGGTGCTGGCTCCTTTCAATGTCGGCGATGATCCTCAGCTGGTGTTTAACATCCTACCCATCATTAACCGGGACGCCTCGGAATGCCATGAAGGCTATATCCTGGGGTACAGTCATGTGAACAAGATGTTGTATGCTCGTTATTTCGAGTGGATTCCCCACATCGAGGACCTCGACTTTGTGTGGCAGGATGGGTGCAACATGTACGAGGTGACAATCTATGAATTGCTTGGCCTTCTTCATGATTGCTTCGTTCAGAAAAGTTTCTTCCCAGGCGAAGGCATCTTGAGCGCTGGTTACCAGCATGGTCATCACCGCCCATCTCGAAGGTTTGACGACCCCGGAATGGAACTCGTCATGACCATCCTCTTTTGCCAATGGGTCCGGGATGCTGCCGACCCGCTGTTTGGTCCTGCTTACTTGCGAATTGGTAACCTCAAGGAGCAAGCCGCCTACTACGAGCAGCAATGTCGCTTGATGCTGCAGCGCGCTTCGGCTAGAGCGTGGTTCTATATCCGCGACGGATGGGTTCCAGATGATCTGGCACGCAACTTGGAACTCAATGCGTGGACCAACGATCTGTACACCTATTGTGATTCCATGTACGCAGAGAATGGAATCGATTGGCCCGCCCCTAGCTTGAGGAAATCATCCGAGCTTCGAGAACAGTATGTCGAGACTCACAGAGCCGAGAACTCCGCCGATGTACGTTTCAACAAATTGTTTAACGCCGCAGCGGGTGACAACAACCCTAAACCCGAGAATGAGGCGCTTGAGGAGCTTACAGCCATGATCGGACGAGAGCAGGCGCACCACCTGCTGGACTGCGCCGCTAGCCAGTGCCTGGACAATCTCATGTCGAACGAAGGCGAGAATGATGGTGATCACAACGTCTCGATAGAGTGGCTTGCCCGTCGTCTCGCATATCTCACATTGGACTACCCTGAACTGGACAGCCCCACAAACCGCAGCCACTTTTGCGAGCTTTTGATGAGAATGGGAGTGTCCATGCAACAGCAGCCAGAGGAACATCTGGCCCAGTTGCCGGATTCTCCGCTCAACGGCGACTTCTGGAAATTGGTTGTCGATTCGTCCCAAGCCGACGCCTCGAGCGCTCGTCATCTTATACCCAGCCCAGTCATTGATTAGCGAGACTAGAGAACACCAAGGACCTGGAAATGTCTCTGTATCCCGATAGATGACTGGTGGCTATCGCTTTGCCTTTTTCAACAATATCTTCTAGGGCCCTGGATCCATCTGGTCTTCTGGTATTCCTTGATGACCCCTCACCATTTTTGTCAGAGTTTGATATCTTTCCTTGGCTCGGAGTTTCCGTCTTTTCTTATTCCTTTTTCTTCGCTGTATTTTTTCGCTTCTTTTCCACGTCTTCTGATTGCTTCGGTTCTTTCCGTTTCTTTTGTGAAAACTCACTCGACATCAAGAAACGTTCTCGAATTGTTCCTTGATTGCAACAGGTTACTAAAGCATGGGAGATGCATTCAGTTATCGTCCTTACATATTTGATACCCCCGACCCCCCATTACCAACCACTCATGATCCGCTTGAGCCCTAGGCAAGCCCTGGGCAAAAGAGCAGCATGTTCCGACAACGTTTTACCCACCGTTCTTGCCACGAACGCAAACCCCCGTCGGCCATCCCACCCGTCCAGATCGCCGGCGATCTGTTGATGTTCTATGACCCTTGGGGAAGGAAGCTGGTGCCTTGGCCTAGAGTCTTTGAATCGCCCAACAACTGGAACAGTCCGAGTCCTTTGGTTTCATGGCCCTGGGGAATTGAGCTTTGCTTTCAGTTTTAGGTAGAAGACGAGGCTGGTGCTGGGCCGAGCAAGTGAATGGAGAATGAATGGAAAGAGAGTGGAGAAAAAAATCCGGATGCACCAGACGAAAAGAAAGAAAAAAAAAAGACAAGTTGCTTAGATGACTGGGAGATGAATGGAATGATCCCCCATCACTGATGAGATATGATTGATGTGATGATATGACTCTGATGATGTCCAATGCTCGTGTAATGCCTACTTTATGTGGAGGGTAGATCGTGTTCCATCAGATGGTCTAGGGTAGACAATGTCATACATAGGTTCAGAGCAGGATTGTGCTGATTGTAGGATTGGTGATGATGGGGCATTTGTGCACGTAGCATTCTTGCAAGAGGCATGGCATTGGTTCGGATTATGAAGTCGATGGTAGTAGAGGGGAGGAGATGTGGTTCCCGGTGCCCGGTGGTTAGTTGGACGGCCGAGGGCGGAGCGGAAGGATGGTGATTACCTATATAGGAAAGCAGCCTTTCTCGGCAGGGCACCTGGAATACACCTATGTACATGTACATAGTAAGTACATTATAACTTATTGCTTCTTGTGAGTAAACATATGAGAATCTGAGAACCTATGGAGAAGTACGTGCACTAATGCCTCTCATACTCTCAGTAGAAGTGCAAAGCCTGATTGAAATGATAGGCACGAACTGATTAGGGCAGCAAGTAGCAGATTAGGCCACCGCATAACGAGGACCTCGGAGTATAAGTAACAGACTGTACGGAGTACATGCAAGTAGGGGGGAGATTGCGATCCACACTAGCCACAGACTGGAACCGAATGTGGCTGAGACGTGGGGCTGATGAGTAAGTAGTCAGTCTCGGCGTCATCATTCCTGACCCAATCAGGCTCAGTATACTCCGTTAGTAGTACAACGCTGCATTCCATTCCATTCCCATTCTCTCGGAGACTCGATCAGATCGGTTCCCAGACCGAAAACCCACCCTCGGTTACAACTGATCACTGATCACCGATCAACCGATCACTGGTACGAACAATACGAATTGAAGACACGAACAAACTCGATGTTTGGAAATGATTTTCGGTTAGTACCGTGGTTGTGCTGGAATGACCATGAGGCCGACGATGCTGCTGCTGATGCTGATGCTGCCAAGATGCAGCTAGTCACCAGAACCGACAAGCCAATAACCAGGAACATGAAAAAAAAAATGATAATGACCCGTGCAAGGATGGGGGCCCTCTCCGTCTTGGTCTCTTGGCCTTCCATAGGGAAAGTCAAGAGTGAATGAATGATGGTCTCGCTGTTGTCCCTCTTACTTTCTGTCTCTCTCTCTCTCTCTCTTTTCCCTCCCCCTTCTTAAGTTTCTCAGCCCTGCAGCCCTACTGATTCTGTTGTGCTGCTCAGTACGGAGTACTCAGATTCTCAAAACAAATTGAATGACTGGTACCTTAATGCTACCTTTCGCCGCTCCTTTTGACCCTTGCTCTCATCCATACTAATCATCTTCCTGACCTTCCGGGACGCGATACTACTGGCCTTATTTGGGATCCAATCTTCGTTCTTTCTATCACCTCCCCCGCCCCGTATCCCACTTCCCCCCTTGACATCTTCCAGGGGATCCGACTTACACCGGAATCCTGGTCTCCCTGTCCTGCGCGCAGTTGTTATTAATCGCCTAATCCCTCTTTTCGGGTCAACCTCTTCTGTCACACTCTTTTATCTCCTTCCCTACCTGAGAACTATCCTGCCAGGTTATCGATAGTTACCTCGTCTGCACAACCCGTCGCAACCTGCCTCTAGTCTGTAATCACCATATGATACACTGATTTATCCCACTTGTCTTTTTTTTAATATTTATTACCTATTTTCGAAACTTATCCCCTTGCTGCTTGGCGCCGGTATCTTTGGTATTACCCCGTCCGGCCCGTGACCTCACGATGGCCTTCCAAAGTAAGTTTCCAACTTCGACACTGCCTGACACGCGCTTCAACACTAATGCTGTTGTACTAGCCAATGGTGCAGCTCCTGCTGTCAATGGCCACTCTACGGATTCCAGCACGTCCGTGGACGTCATCTGCGGTCCCCTAATCAACTTCAAGAATATGGATGTCACTGCTTCCTCCTCCGTATGGCGAGGAAGTATTCTGATTGTGACTAAGTCTGGGCAGAGCCAGCCTCAGCTGGTCATGCGCCAAGCAGGCCCGGTTGATAGCAGCGGCCGAGCTTCTCGTACTCAACCCAACTCCCAACGTTTTGTGGCTGATGGACTTCGTCTATATGAAGATCCCGAGAAGGCATTCTGGAGATTTTCAATCGCCATCGCCTTAGAAGAGTACGAAGCACGCTGGGAATACACCATTCCGGGGTTCCAGTACGCAAATGGCGAAGAGCTTCCTCCGCCTTGGGACTTTGTAGTGCCATCGGTTCACCAGTCGATGCGTCTGATGTTCCATTCTTGCAATGGCTTTTCCGTCGGCACTGATATGAACGCTTGGGTTGGCCCCAATTTGTGGAACGACGTCATGCGTGTGCACGGCCAGAAGCCCTTCCATGCCATGATTGGTGGTGGTGACCAGTTGTACTGCGATGGAATCCGCGTTGATGGACCCCTGAAGGCGTGGACGGCCATTGGAAACCCTCACAAGAGACGGGCGCATCCCTTTGACAACGACTTGCGAGCCCGGTGCGATGAATACTACTATGCAAACTATGTCCGATGGTATTCCATCGAGCCATTCAAAGCAGCAAATGGCCGGATCCCACAGATCAATGTTTGGGATGACCATGACATTATTGACGGCTTCGGTTCGTACACAGATCATTTCATGCGCTGCTCCGTGTTTCGTGGGATTGGCGGCGTGGCGTTCAAGTATTACTGCTTGTTCCAGCATCACATCGCGCCGCCCAAATCGACGTACACCACAGACGCTCCGCAAACAATGCATGCCGTTAACGGAACTGCTGGTGCCGATCCTAGACAGCTGGAGAACACCTACGTTCTAGAAGGCCAGTCGGAAGACGATAGTTGGATTGTTGGTAATCGCCCCGGTCCCTACGTCGAAGAGAAGAGTCGAAACCTCTACATGCGCCTCGGCAAGCGGTTTGCGTTCATTGGCGTCGATGCGCGGACGGAGCGCACGCGGCACCAGGTGAATTACCCAGACACATATGATCTCATTTTCTCCCGCCTTGAAACTGAAGTCTTAGCGGCCGAGGGGGACATAAAACACTTGATTGTGCTACTGGGAGTTCCAATCGCATACCCCCGACTCGCATGGCTGGAAAATATCCTGAGCTCTCCTCTGATCGCGCCAATTCGCTTATTGAATAAGCGGTTTGGCTTTGCAGGTGGTTTGTTTAATCAGTTTGACGGCCAAGTCGACCTTTTGGATGACTTGGATGATCACTACACTGCGCGTCAACACAAGAAGGAGCGAAGGATTTTCATTCAACGTCTACAGGACTTTGCTAAGGCTCATTCCATTCGTGTCACGATTCTGGGCGGAGATGTGCATCTGGCAGCCATTGGTCGGTTCTACTCCAACCCAGCCCTCAACCTTCACAGCGAACACGATCCACGGTATATGATCAATGTTGTTAGCAGTGCGATCACGAACAAACCTCCTCCCAAGGCCGTGGCCAATCTCTTGGCACGTAGAAACAAGCTTCATCATCTGGATCCCCACACGGATGAGACATTGATGGACATATTTGATCGACAACCTGGTGGGCAGGAGAAGAGCGCCGCGTGGAATAAGGTCACGATGCCTTCGCGGAACTTCGCCTGCATCACTGAGATCGAACCCCTCTACACTAATGGAAACACTTCAGTGGCTCCGAACGAGCAGGCCTCTTCGTTTCCTTTGGCCAAAGATGGTCACTCGCCTCTTCACCAGGGTGAAGCTGACGCAGGCTCTAGTCATCCCGCGGCAGACGGGTATACTAGTAGCGGCAGCATGCCCGGAGGATTGGACATTACGATTCGAGTCGAGATTGACCCACAGAACAGAGAAGGGGCTACCGATGGTTACGGCTTTAGCAGTAAGTTTGTCTAGTAGAATCGCCAAATTGGCCCTGAATGGTCTTGCTGACAGGTCACCAGTTCCCGCGTTGGCCTACGACCCTTCGAAAGACGTCTCTCGTCCCACTTCTCGCGCTCGCTCATTGCGACCTCAATCCCTCCGTCCCCCTTCACGGCAGTCTGCGCGGCCTCAAACCGCCAATTGATCGCTGATGTGCCCTTTGCGTGAATCATGCGAGATACTTGGAATACTTTGGCCCGTTCCCCTTCCTGTGCTTTTTACCCATCATGGTGGGCCTACCTTATAGCTGAGTGTTGATGTAGGATAGTTGTTGCTCCGCTTCGTCTGGTTCTCTTTCTTGATTCCCCGGTGTATTCATTTTAATCACTACCTTTCTACGTTCGAATACCAAATTTTTGAATATTCATGATGACAGTCTTTCATCTTTCATGTTCATTCACTTTACAGTTTGAGGTCATTGATTCATCCCCAGGTTTTGACTCCCCTAGCTTTCCGAAAGCAATATAGTGCAATAGTGGCTGGCTCACTTTGCCATGCTCTATAGCAGATTTTGCCCATTATTCGTCTTTGCACGTTCTCTGATGAACTACAACAGACGTCATGATCTACACGAGCCATTCCAGGTTTTGCCATGCACAAGAAACCCCGCCTGCCAAGATTGAGGAGCTCTCTCCTCAAGTGACTCGGAATTCTGCAGCTGAGATCAGAGCCTAAAATCATGGAAACAGGTGATAGCCAGACCGCATGAAAGCCAGGCAGAAGCGAATAATTCGTCCTGGACTGCAGCTTATCTCAACTGTTCGACCAATCCTAATTCTCGCTGCAGCTAAGCTACAGATTGCGAGTGCTTTTCGGTATTTGAGGCATGGAACTTATGCAAGGGCGGCCGGTGGAGTGCGGAGATATCACGAGCGGCACCACATAGCGAACGTAATGGGGAATTTCGCCTTCCGTGTCACATCGAGATCGTTGCCTCCTATTCAGCCCTGCAAGGGTTGTCCTAGTACGGCGACTTTACTCAGCTCAAGGGGCAGATCCAAGGGCTATGGATATCCTGAAAAGAACCGAGCCGGAGGACCGAGTGTTCTTTGCATCTTGCGAGAAGAATCACGCATCACGGGCACCGCAACGATGGGAACCAAGAAGACAGCAGCGTCGCAAGATGCCTCTCAGGACAAGGTTGCAGAGCACGGCGCAGACAGCAACTCCGACGATGACCGACTCGATATCCTCGGCTACAAGCAGGAGCTTCGTCGCAACCGTTCCCTGAACACACTGCTCTTTCAATCGCTTGCGATGGCCGCGATTCCCTACGGCGAAGGAGGTCCTCTCATGGGAGCCATCTACGGCGGCGGGCCCATGTCAATTTTTGTCGGCTGGATCGTTGTCTGCGTCCTATACCAATGCGTCGCCCTGTCTCTCGCCGAGCTCGTGTCGCGATACCCGACGTCAGCGGGGCCCTACTACTGGTCGCATCAGATCGCGCGCGACCACAAAGCCATCGTCTCCTTCCTCACCGGCTGGGTGTGGATCATCGGCAACTGGACGGCCATCCTCTCGACCAACTTCGGCTTCGCATCCATGCTGTCAGCCTCGATCTCCTTGGTCCGTCCCAGCTGGGACCCGAACAGCTGGGAGCTTCTGCTGATCTTCTACGCCGTCTGCGTCGGCACTTTCCTGGTCTGCACCTTCGGCAACCGGTTCCTCCCTCACATCGACTTCCTCTGCACGGTGACCACGGCGCTGACCATCATCGTGGTGCTGGTGGCTCTATCCACCACCGCCGCGACCGGCCGCCACACAGCGGCGTATGCCCTAGGCCACTACGACACGCACTTCTCCGGCTGGGGCGGCTTCACGTTCTTCATCGGCCTCCTCCCGGCCGCGTACACCTTCTGCGGCATCGGGCTGGTGACCTCGATGGCCGAGGAATGCGTCGCGCCGGCGCGCATCGTCCCCCAAGTCCTCAGTCTTAACATCCCCGTGCTCGGGCTGGCCGGCCTGCTGTTCATCCTCCCGATCTGCTTCACGCTGCCCCCGATGGAAGAGATCCTCGCCGCGCCGGCTGGCCAAGCCCTCCCGTACATCTTCCACCGGGTCATGGGCACCGCCGCGGGGGGACTGGCGCTGACGAGCCTGGTCCTCAGCCTGACGCTCTTCGGGTCGATCAGCGCGACCGTGGCCGGCTCGCGGGCGATCTACGCCTTTGCGCGCGACAACGCGGTGCCCTGCTCTCGCTTCTGGGCTCGCGTCCACGACCCCTACGCCTTCTTCGCATCGGCCTCATCGTCATCAGACAGCAGCTCCCACAAAAACAACCCCGACAGCGTCCCCTTCAACGCCCTCCTCGGCGGCACCATCCTCCAGCTGCTCCTGGGGCTCATCAACCTCGGCAGCACCAGCACCTTCACCGCCTTCGTCTCCGTCAGCACCATCGCCCTCTCCGTCGCCTACGCCATCCCCATCGCCCTAAGCCTGATGCACCGCCGCACCGAGGTCGCCCGCGCGCCCTGGACCTGCGGCCCGCTGCTGGGCCCCGTCGTCAACGTTCTCTCCCTGGCGTGGATCGCCTTCGGCCTGGTGCTGTTCAGCCTCCCCACGGCGCTGCCGGTCACGCCCTCATCGATGAACTACGCCGCCGTCGTGCTGGTGGGGCTGTGGGGGTTGGCCTTCGCGTGGTACTGTGTGTATGGACGTAGAGGTTCGTTCTCATTCCTTTTCCTTTCTCTTCGTTGTTCCCATCTCCCCTCTTCCCCATGCATTCCCTCCCTTGGCAGTAGAGCTTCCACATCTCCCAGCCCCGATCAACTAACCTGTCGTCGGGAAACAGTGTATAAAGGTCCCCCCCTGGAATCGACCGGGCCTTCGCTCGCCGGAACTCCAGACTATCTCCTAGCTTTAGAACTATAGATGCAGGAGGTTTGCGCTTGGGGTTGGGTTTGGTTTCGTTTGATTTGGTTTGGTTAGAGGGGTGGTAGGTATCCAGGCCATGGCGATTCCGCCTCAACTGCACCAAGAAATGGGCATATGCGATGCGCGATGAGAAGAAAAAGATATAGATCGATAGAGATTGGGTCTCGTCTTGGAGTTGCGGTTGTTATTCTTTGAAGATCAAAAAATGTATTCAGCGTATGCATAACCTGAAAAATACATGTCGTGTTTCCATCTTCTCTACTCCGTATACTGGATGGAGTGATTTGATTACCAGAAGTAGGGATGAGGGTGTCTCTCGTGGACCGTACACCAACCACTGCAATAGAACGGGAGTTGGATTGGTAGTGTACTGAGCTTATTCCATGCAAATGAGCAGGAGCAGCAGAGTGTATCGATCCTTCGAGTGTCGGGTCTACATTACGAACCAAAAGGGCTTCAAGGTTCGAACCGCACCGCACCGCACCGCACCGCCCGCCCTCAATCCTACATCCATCTCTATCGTCCAACCAAGTTATGCATTGGAGTACAGTACATGATACATGATACATGATACATGCAATGCCCGAGGGCGAATCTACCTCTACTCCAAAGCCAACCAACAAGTGATCTCAACCTAATAAGTCAAATCATCCTGGTAATCCAGTTCCCCGACTCCTAAACTCGTCGCCGAGTTCTCGTGGCCGGAATCGATACTGTTGCTGTTCCCGCGCCGTCGCCGGGGCTGGCCCTCGTTCGGGACCGAAGGTCTACGCAGGATGGTTGTCGTCGCACTCCCGCTCCCACTCCCACTTCCGCTCCCACCACCGCCAAGCATCTCCGCTGGTCTCCGCCGCCGCACGACCTGGTACCCTTTGTCCAGCTCGATCTCGATGACGCAACGGACCTTCAAGGCGCTCACGGCGGGCCAGACGCCGCGCTCGCCCTTGCGCGACCAGTGCGCCAGGCTCTCCTTGCTGGGGTTCTCGAAGATCTTGGTGAAGTCGCGGAGGGTCAGGTCGGGGACGAGGGTGATGCTGGGGCCAGGGATGGATTCCTCGAGGAGCAGGCGGGCCAGCGGCGTGGGAAGGAGGCCCATGTAGTCGAGCTGGCGGAGGCGGTGGCGCACCTCGCCCAGGACGAGGCGGGTGAAGTAGCGGATCGGGGGGTTGGGGTGGTCGCCGGGCCGGCGGATGAGGAGGGTGCCGCCGTCGGAGCGGAGGAACGGGATGAGGTAGGGCCGCGCCTGCGAGACGATGAAGTGGTTGACGTTGAACAGCTCGGCGATCCGCGAGAGCGGCGACTCGCCCTCGCTGTACTGCACGTGGCGCCAGGAGGCGAAGGTCGCGTCCTGCGAGTGCGGCCAGGGGACGATCGAGCCCGTCTCGTCCTTGCAGTAGATGGTGACGGGGCGGTAGAGGGGGGTGTTGGAGGCGTTGGAGGCTACGGCGGCGGACCAGATGAGCTGGGCGAACCTTCTTGTTAGCTTTTTCACAACCTCATAGAATATCAAATAAGATGGGATGCGCGGGTCCGTACCACGTTTGGTGCGGTGAGATAGTTGAGGAGATTCGGCGTGGCGTTGGTGTTCGACGTCGCGACAGTGATGTTGAGGATGCGCTTCGATCGGGCGTATGCTTCTTCGAACGTCAAGTCTCCCAGGTTGGCCCGCACGCATTCCTCCAAGACTTCGGCGTCAAGGAAGTAGCCCTTCTGAACATATCGCTTGATGCGCCGGAACAGGGTCCCCGCCCAGTTGTCGCCGACGTCGAACGGCAGCCATTGAGTTTCGGAGGAGGCGTCTTTGGTCTTCCGACGCCGATCGAAGGCGCTCAGATCGATGCCATCGCTGTCGAGGAAGGTCAACAGCTCATCTTCCGTATGCACCCCGACCAGGGCGGCGATCAGGGCGCCCGTCGCGGTCCCGATGATAATCCGAGGCAGAAGGCCCCGCAGGTGAAGAGCCTTGACGACGCCGAGGTGACAGAGCCCGAAGATCGATCCGCCTTGGAGCAGAAGCGTTGTCCGTCCAAAGGCCTGTCGAGTGTCATGCAGCAGCTCGAGCTTCGCCTGCGCTCCGAACCCACTGATGTGGACCGGGGCGGTGGGAAGCGCCGTCACCTGCTGAATGGACAGTGCCACCTGGGTGATATAGTCATCGATCAGAAGCTTGGTCCCCGCGTACGCCTGTGTGAACAGCTTCGGTGATGTGATGTTGCCTAGATTGCGAAGCAGTCCGGATCGGAGTAGATTGACCAGCGTCAGGATATCCTCGTCTTCGCGAGCACTCATGAGAGCCTCTAATCTCCCCAGGATCAAGCGATAATCGTAATGGCGGCTGGTGGGGTTCTGGCGCCTATTATACGCTGTCAGTGACTGACCTCCGTGCGTAGGCTGAAGTGGAGCGAGTTACCAAAGATCCTTACTGAGGATTTCGTCTAGGTCGAAGGCGGCTTCTTCCCATTCCTCGTAGGTTGTTGCAGTAGCGAGCGCATGGCGCAGTCGGTCTCGGGGAGACTGTGTATGCCACCAGGATAATAACCTCTAGACGAAGAAAGTCAGCTAATGAAATTTACAGCATAACATTCCAATGGAGTATCATAGGAATAGTGGAGATTTCATCAAGCATATCTGATGGGATTGGTGCTGGCTTGAGAGACCATGATGCCGACCATGCGTCTGAAGACATTGAATAGCCTACCTGCTGCCAGAACTGTGCGACGTCTAGGATCATACTGAAGATGGCAGCGAACAACTCGTAGATCACCGCCCAGGATGCCATGCTGAATGAAGGGAGAGGGGAGGGGAGGTTTATCACTGGCAGGTCAATCGAGAGGGGGAAGAATGACGGCACATGTCGAGACAAACGCCTGGCTGGTGCTTTCACATGCTTGATCTCCGACGAGGTCAGGAGGATAGACAAGTCCGCAGCTCAGCACGGAAAAGGAGCAGGGATTCTCGATCGGGGCCAGAGCCGGTGCATTCAAGACCTCTAGTTTTTGAATAACGAGGTCGAATATTGCAGCAAGAAGGGAAAAGAGAGGAGATGTTGGGAGTGAGAAGCCGAGAGGAATTAAGTGACTTCGACGGGATGATGACACAGCTTGGTATAACTTAAGTTAGTTACTCCCCGCAGCACGGTGCTACTATATATATATCCACACTGTCTGATCACCACCACCACCACGAACAGGGAAATATACCACAAGGCTGAAATTACAATCAAACATATTTTCGAGCTCAGGATTCATATACAAAGTCTCCATACCTCCAGTAGAACGTGTGTTGTGCTCCAATGGCCCGACAACAGTCACGGTGGAGATGCTTGCAAAACACGGGGTAAAAGAAACCTGCATTGGCCAAGGAGAAAAAGCCGTGGAGAATTGGGGTACATGAATTAGAACATTCTATGGCCGAACTACATACGAGCCTAGGCAAGAGTCACCCTACCGGGAGATACACTCTGCAATAGAAACAAGGCGAGACCAAAAGCAGAAGAAAAAAAAAAGGCCAACCAGATTTTTGAGTCTCTCTACACGCCACGCTTCGCCAGCGGAGTAAGGAAATGCCAGACAAACCCCGTGGACACGTTAACTGGGCATTTGAAATTCCATAATTTTGGGTTTTAAATTTCGCGTTGCTTCCCTATGCAAGTAGGCGAAAATGTATTCTTCGAACATTCCTTCACTACCCACCAAGGCGGACATTTCCAACCGCTTACTCCTCGACAATGTTACCCCGCTCCGACACGTACAGACCGTCAAGGAACTAGAAAGCCGCGAGTCAGGGAAGGATGTTCGGGGGACTGAGATAGGGCTAAAAGCCGGCTGCTCCAAACTCACCTTACGGATATCCTTGTTGCGGACTCTGCAGATCTGCTGGATGTCGGCAGCGCTCTGGGAGACACCCTCAAGGGAGTTACCGGAGAGCACGAGCTCATCCTTGACGTTGGTGGAGACGGCGATCTCAACACCGGGCTGGGCAGTCACACGGCGGACGTACTTCTCACCCAAGAAGTTACTAGAAAGGAATCCGTCAGTCGGAAGATTCCTTCAAAACGCATGCAGCGACAAGCGACGCAACATTGGCCCCCAGGGCCAGTTGGAACAACAATCTCCCATCTCAATCCAACCAGCCCAGTGACTCGCCGCAATGTCGCAAAAAGGTGATAGTGCCATACCGGATCTCAACTTCGACCTGGCCGGTCTCGGCGTTCTTCTCAAGGTTGACGTTGATGGGAAAGTGAGCGTAGACGTAACGCATCTTGTACTTGAAGCCCTTGGTGACACCGATGATCAAGTTGTTGATGAGGGTGCGGACGGTGCGGAGGGTGGCAATACCCTTGCGAGCACCGTGGTGCAGCTGGATGCTGATGACATTCTTCTCGGGGCGGCCGAAGGTGACGGCGATGTGAGAAAGGTCCTTAACGAGCTTGCCTGGAGAGCGGGAAAAGAAATCCCATGTTAGCGGCCGCTGGCAGTCGCACGACACGAACGGGCTCAGAAACATCCAAGCCAGCACTGCACTGTAGAAGGTCTGTCTGGTCCGAGCCCATTGTTGGGAATGTGCGTGTTTGTTGGTGGAGTGGTAAATTGCATACCTCGGGGTCCCTCGACGGTCACAACGCGAGAGCGAATGTGAACCTTCACTGTACGACGAAAATTGTATCAGTCCCAGTTCTCTCACACAAACACATAAAAATAGTCGCGCAAGTCCATGTCGCCTGATTCCCTTCCGCCGCGGAGAGACAGGCATTCTGATATATGCATTGGTTCCTCCTCTTGATTCTTCTTCATCCTCTCCTGCATTGACTGATTCGTAGTCGAGTCGGGTGGGCGCATCACTGTTCCTCTTTTCCCTGGCTTGTGTCCCTCAATGCATCATCCTCTCCATGCCTGCCCCTCCGGGGGGTGTCCTTTTCTCTTCCCACTTCCCACCTCTTGCGAAACCAGCGGACTCTTTGCGAAACCAGCGAAGTCGAGCATTCAGGAGAATGCTCAGGAATAAATCGAATTTGCTCACCATTCTCGGGGACGGGCAGCGTTTCCTCGGAGTGAATGTACCGCATCTTGACTGCGTGGGCTGTGGTGTGTCCGAGGGGGGAATTGTCGATATCGTCGTGCGGTCGGTCGTCGAAAGGATCGAAATTCCTCAAGGCAGACCAGAGTCGACAGTGGTGGAGCGAAAATCACGGGTTGTGCGTCGCTTACGGCTCAATCTGGTTTAGGTCTTCCCGCCTAGGGTTGCCCACTTCGGGTTTAGTGCCATTTATCCCGCCCGGCAGAACAGCAACAATTGGAACTGGTCTGTGACTGCAGTGCTTATCCTTATCAGTAGGTAGTCAGCCTCACCGAATTCCAGTAATTCCTCAAGCTCAAACATTGAATTTGATGCATTGCAATTGTACTCGTAACTCGAATTTTGGTCCTTCAAATTGATGGAAGCTGTCAGTACAACTCTCGCTGCAGAATTGGTCTTAAACGTACACACTGGTACCAAGCTATCAAATTACGATTAATCATTTCCTGTTAATTATCACATGATCCCAATTATGTACGCAGAATGAAATGCATCAAAGTCCTGAAAGCTTTTCCGTAGGGAATCCTCAAATCGGTCTGTGATCATGACCTGTCTGGCAGCAATAACCAATGCAAATGGTGAAACACACAATCCCAATGCATGCATACCGTAAATAGATCGAGTCCAGATGCCTGAGTCAAATCGACAAATAGCTTTCCAGTCCGCCCAAAAATTCTAGTCGCTTGAGTCCTTACGGTGGACTTCTTGGACCCACTTACCACCCAGGTCCCTCAAGGTTGATGTCAATTCGTCGCGCCCGTCGAGGGCCGTCACGTCGTCACCACCCCCAATACTCTTGCCATTGACCAACACGTTAGGGACAGTCCGACGACCTGTAGTCTCGGCCAACACGGCCTGCAACATCCGACCATGGGGATGCTGATCCAATTCCACGACGAAAGGCGCAGGGGTGATGGAGTAGTGATCCAGTAGAATGGACTTAGCTTTGGCGCTGTAGGGGCAGTACGATTTAGAGAAGATGATGACTGCGTTGAAAAACAAAAGACATAACACATTAGTAATCCATCTCCTGCGCATATCAGAGGGCAAAAGGGGGAAATGACATACTCGGCGCCCGTTTCAGAATATCATTCAACTCGGCCACTGCATGCGCATGCGCTTCCGCCTCGGCGTCGTCCTCTGCCCCGGCCTGCTGCGGCTTAGACTCCTGCTGCTTTGGTTGTTCTTGCTGTTGCTGTTGCTGCGGCTGCTGCGACTGCTGCTTCTCCTCCAGCTCCACCTTCTCATCCTCCTCCGGTTTCTTCGACACGGTCATCTTAGTCCGTCCCGCGATCGGGATCTCTTCCAGGTGGTCTGCCGGGTTGGCCTTGGGGATCGCCGGGGCGATCTTATCATCGACCATGGGATGCTTCAAATCTTCCTTGATGGGGTTGCGATTCGGGGCGGGGATGTTGGCTGCTGCGGCCTGGGCTTCCTTGGCCTGCTTTTGGGCATTCATGGCCGCCACGGTGGAGCGATAGAATTGCTGATTCTGGACACTCCGGGCGTCGCTCTAGAGGCGCGCGTCGCGTTAGTCAACTTCGCTATCTTCAGAGGCAATTGCGACCACGAAGGGGAAGGGAAATTATACCGAGTAGTACCAGGTCACGCCGAGGATCACCAGCACGGCAATGACCAAAAGTCTCATGCGCCGTTGAGAGAACATCTTGAGGCGGATTGTAAGAGGGTAAATCGGCAGGGGAACCTGACAGCGATGCGATTGATAATCACGGGGGGAAGATATGTTCAGCTGTGGGGAGAATGCTTGCTGTCGAGTCAACGAGCTACTGTGCGCATCAGTGCCGGGATGGTTTAACAGTCGATGTGTCGAGCCGACCAGTCATAGATGCAGCTCCAAGACCAACAATGGCTGGACATTAGGCGAGAGCGAGAGGTTAGAGATTCCTGAAGAAAATGGTGCAAGATTGGAAACAGGTGGCAAAGCCAATACTAATAGACAATGCTATCAGTGAGAGATCTAAAAATACGCGCGACCGAATAACCTGAAATGTCAAGAGGTTTCCCCTAGTGTAAGGGGGGGGGGAAAGGTCCCATAAGAAGTGGGGGAGTCGAGGCAACTGGCAAAGACAAACTCCGGCCTCGCCGGCGCGGCGCTCGGACGGGAGCCTCCGAGCCTACTCTTACTTCCAGCAAAGCACGGAGCAAGTATTGTTTCTTCATGGCGAGTCCCCTCAATTCTAACCTGAATTATGCTGAATTATGCTGAATTATGCTGAATTATGAATTATATTATGAAATATTCATGCTATGCTATATCCGGGGTATGTAGCTGGTATCATAGTGAAAACCATAAAAGAAAACATTCAATCAAAGCGTTACGTGGTGTCTTTCTTGAGACAACAATATATGTGAGGGCATGTAGGTAGATGCACATAACTCACGGGTGCAGATCAGAACAAATATAGATCTGGACTGACATGGTAAGATAAGGTCGCTTCGTCATCCCGCAGACCCTGCAGCGGTTCGACTGAGCAATTGACGGGTATTGTGGTGGTGATGATCCTCGTCCAAAAAGCGCAACGTTTCTCTTCCGTTTGACCGATCTTCGCTGACTTCTCCTTTGTCGCGTGATTTGTGATAGGGATCATAGCGAAGATCCAGGAAGTTGGTAAGGACCCAAGCCATCATCATGCTTGAACTGCGATGCCTGAGCGCGGCCCAATAGTCCCTTTACGCTTGCCT